CTACTATTTCGTGTCAGCGCTCTGTTTTGAGGTTACATTTTCTTTTAAAACTATAAGAAATTTCATGCTGATAAAACTTGATTTTTATCTGTTTTATTAGCCTGAAAAAAAGAAAACATAACCTCACAATAGGAGAGAGCGCTCACACGGAACAGAACTAGAAATACCCCAGCCTATCTAAAGGAGAGAAAAAACTATGAAAATCAAGGAATCCACAAAGACGTCCTACGATTGTAGGAACGACTATCCGGCCCTAAGTAACATAGAATAAGGATCACCCAGTAATAATGAATTAATTACAGATTTTCTAGGTATACAAAAAACGATCCGCTTTTGAATCATATCGATAAAGTGGTTTTTGTGATATAATCTGTTCTTACAAGGAAAAAGTAAGAAAAATGTTGATCATTATTACCGGGTGTTCATTTTTCGATGACACTTGGAATATTTAGTAAGAAGCCTTAAGGCAGTATCTGTCGTATCGGAACTAGGTACCGTCCCCTTTCATCCCAACTGCATAGTTCGTAGGCATGTTGTGTGTGGTCCTTGGGGAGAAATTTTATCTTCGACTGTTACGCTAATCCCACGTTAATGTTCTATAACTCTCCATATCCTTCTAGAACTGCCATTTGCATCCTGTAGTTAATAGTTTCTATTCCGTTACAAAACAATTAGAGACTAAAGCCAAACAAAATCACAGCAACTGAGTTCCATTAATGATTATTTTATAGAATTGCATATTCCTTTTCACCCCATTTGTTACCCTTGCGCATATACGAGTAAATAATTAGGGTGAGACACTTTAGCTTTATGCCTTTGCCTTGCAGACCAGCCGTTTAATATAACGAATTTCTAATTTAGGAGAGAACAACTGCAGATAACTTACTGCAATTAGAGTTCATTAGAACTTTGGATGCTATACGTATAGATAAAACATTTGCCACTTTGCTCATGCATTTCATGCCACAGGGGCGGGTGTACTAGTAATACATATGGTATGGTTTTTCTCGTCGATCTTTCGCTTCCAGACCAATTGGCGAGGAAGCATGAGCACGCGTAAGTTTTTCTCAGGGGGGCAAGCGAGGAAGTATGTATTGTAATCGCAAAAAAAAATAAAATTTGATATAATATTTCTTGCATCTACAAGGTGGCCAATATATAACTGACTGATTTAAATTGCGCACCATTTTCGATAGTGGCGGAGTAGTTGTTTAAGGCACATGTGTCCAATTCATCATGGAGCGCTACACGATCCCACAACGCGTCCGTAAGGTCGGGCCGTTTTCGAACTGTTCGTACTCCGGAAAATATCGAGAGAGTTCGTGAAAGTGTAGTGGAGCGCCCTGAGACGTCTACCAGACATTGTTCTCAAGAACTGGTTTTTCGTCGCACGTCATTATGCACTATTTCAAAAAACGACTTGCATTTGCGGCCATACAAAATTCAGTTAACCCAAGAACTACAGCCTAGTGACCCCATGAAAGTCGTGCAATATTGCAGCTTAAAACACAAAATAACGATTTTTACCGACAACTGATAACGAGCGATGAAGCCCACTTCGATATGAATGGATTTGTTAATAAAATAAAATAGGGTTTATGGCATCAAACCAAGTACTGTAGAGCAGCTGAAGAACAATATTACGTGAGCGAAGTTTCAATAAAAGATTAAGATGAAAAAAATGCACGTATTTTATTTCATTTCACAAATGTTCAGGAAAGAAACCAGTCAGTTACATATCAGCCATCCTGTATATAACCAAAAGCCAATGTCACTCACTTCCACAGATCTGTTTATCTGTCGGTCTGTCCTTCGCCCCTCTAAAACTCGGAAAGTACCACTCAAATTTTGATGAAACCTTGTAAGATTACGACTATGCCAAGCAGGAAGAGCTTTGCAATTTTTGAAAATCAATCCAGCGGCGAAGGGGCTACCGGCAAAAAACGTAAGAAATGAAAACACTAAAACTTCGTTTTTACATGTTCCAAAGACTCCTGCTCATTTTCAGAATTTTGTTGAAGGACCGATTCGATTGTAGGGGACAGAACTAAGAAAACATGGAAATATATACCTATGTTTTTTGCCTAGATATGCTTACTAAATAAGTAATTATTATAACTACTGAACTGAATGCATAAGAAAATGTTATCTAATTATTTTGTTCCTTATAGTACCTCATTTTTTAAAAATTGAGCAATATACGTAAGTCATTTTTAATTTGACAGCGGTGGCCCTCATTTTCTTTATTTTGGCACCTTGTGGCCAATTGCGGATCCAGCGGGGGTCATCAACATTTATGACTTTCAAATCTCTTTGATATATTAGTAAAGTACAGACTTTTTGCAAATATGTTATCGATACAAACGGATGAGAAATGACTACACCTGGCAACCCTGATCAAGTTGTGGCATGCAAATAAAAGAGTTACGTAAGTCTGGTTGCCTATACGTTCAGCTTGACGCAAATATAAATAAAATGGTGATTCTGAGTTCTTCGGCTTTGTAGCACTGCATGTCCGTTAGTGCATTAGGGAAATTGTGCCTCATGTGTTTGTTGTGTGATTAAGGTAGTTAATTAAAAATTCAGACATTTGGACAGGCATATAAGAAAAAGCCTTTTCGCGTACGCTTTTAATGCTGCAAGTAAATTTGATACAAATACTTTTTCACTGACAAAATCAGAGAACGGCTAATTTGATTGGAAGGAGATTGTAAGTAGTAAGCATCATAGTTAGCTAACCATAAGAGTGTTAAAAACTTGGACTCTTTATCCATCAGCTCATAATCATATATTCTACACTATATTTTTGACACATTTGATATTTGTACCTTAGCATAGTAGCCATAAACGCAATATATTGCTAATGTTTTACACCTTTGGATAATAACGACTTAAAAATAATATTTTTGAAAATTGGAACGTGCCTCAATAGTGTTGACTATTCCATCTACATCAATGTAGCGTTACCTGCGGTTGTTTCAAGAAATTTATTCGTGTTTCATTTCAATAATATCAACCGTTTTTAAGAAAAAATACCGTCGTTTTTCAGGTCGCTGATAACGTATCTGTTATGAGATGAGAAATACCAAATCTTCAAAACTGAGGAACCAGTATTCGGAATCGAATCCATAATTTATAAAACTGTAAATAACAAGTGAAAAAATTTTCAGCCTTATCACTTGGACATTCCGGTTTTTATACTGTTTTTTTTAATTCACTAACGCTCTAAAAATGAATATTTCAGCCGCAGTAAAGAATCAACGTTGACGGATTTTGGTTCTTGATATCCTTTACGATCGGTTACGATGCCTAGAGTACGGAGACCTGTACGATTTCGTCAACTTAGTCAGTTTGATAGGGGCCGTATAGTGGGACTTCGGGAAGCTGGACTTTCTTTTCGGGCAATTGCAGTTAGAGTGCAAAGAAGTGTAGACACTGTGGTTAGGTGTTGTCAGGCATGGCTTCGAGAAGGCCGTACGCAAAGAGCAAGGGGCACTAGACGCCGCCGTACAACAACAGCCCGTGAAGATCGCCGCCTAAGATTATTGGCCTTAAGGGACCGTTTCTCCACTACCAGGTTCATTGCAAATGAATGGTTTGCAGAACACGGAAGACCTATTGGCAAGCGAAGTGTTTACCGACGAATGAGAAGTTTTGGCTTGTTTTCATACCGGCCACACTGGGTCCTCCCTTTAACTCGAGAACACCGACGTAATCGCCTTGAGTGGTGCAGACAACGGTCACTCTGGGATCAGGAATGGAACAGTATTGTCTTTAGAGTGACGAGTCTCGATTTTGTTTAGGCATGCACGATGGTCGTGCCAGGGTTAGAAGGCGACGTGGTGAAAGGAGGAATCCACAGTTTTTTGTTGAAAGACATGTTCATCACACTGTTGGAGTTATGGTTTGGGGTGCTATAGCTGATGGTTCCAGGTCAGCTTTAATCTTCATCAGAGGTAACATGAACGCGCAGCGTTATATCCACGAAGTTGTAGAACCCAATCTTTTACCCTATCTTGACACCCTGGCAGATCCAACTTTCCAACAAGATAATGCCCGACCACATGTTGCAAGAGTCACAATAGACTTCTTTCAACATAATGATGTCACATTGATACCAAGGCCACCAAGTTCTCCCGACTGATCCCCAATTGAGCACGTGTGGGATATGATGGGTAGGAGATTGCTCAATTTGCAACGTCCTCCTCAGACTCTAGAAGTACTTCGAGAGGAGTTGGTGGTTGCCTGGAATGAGATACCACAGGAGGACATTGACCACCTGATTAGAAGCATGCCTAGGCGCGTTGGAGAATGCGCAGCACATCAGGGTGCATCGACACATTATTAAAGGTCAAAGGGCTTTAAAGCAGTGCAATCATTTTGAAATTTTTATCATTTACTTATTATGCTTCATTAAGTACTTATACAAAATTTTATTAAAATAAAACCATTTAAACTGGGTGTTCGGATTTATATGTCACTTAGTATATTTAAATCAGTACTAGTGGAAGGCCAGTCAACGACGGAAATATTATTATCGTGTAACCATTTTTTCATGGTTTTGGCCATATGACATGACGCCCCATCTTGTTGAAAAGTAAAGTTTCTATCATCATTATTATTTTTGAAAGTTAATTTACAGGAAGGCGATAGCGTCCCCTTTTCCCTTGAGGATTTTATGGAGTTCTTTAAATTGAAACTAGGCATATGAAAGATAAAAAAACTACTATATTTACGATAAAATATTTAGTTTCAATATTACAAAACATGCAGCAATACTGCAATAACAATTCATTTTTCAACAACAATATTCTTATCTCAACAGACAGCTTTGATACATTAGTTCATCTTGCTCATTTCACAGTGAGTCAGTCATGTATTCGAAATCTATAATTCCAAAGTATTTATTAAATATACGAAGACAAGGTTATGTCACTACATGCCCTGATCTGTGACATCGTTAGGAGTACAACAGAAGAATTAGGTAGTTGGAGATCTCCTTTCTGAAACGCGGTGAAAATCACCTAGAGATAAACGTCAAAGTTGATTATTTTCCATGTGTTACTGTTATTCTGTACTCCAAAGGATGATACATATTCATATTAGTGACATGACATGATCTTATATTTTTGGCTTCTATGATCTTTTTCAAGAACATCCATTACGTTTTGACGTCTTCTGAGGTGAACTGCTGATCAGCTAGTGATATCTTTGTGTTAAAACCTGTAGTGTTAGCAATAATGAATCGTGTTAAACTCAGGACCGTATTAAGAACCGTTTATACCAAACACAGTCAAAACCTGTTTATCTTATTTTATTGCTAAGTGGCCTTAAATATAGTCTTAATCATTAGCAACCATTTCGCTTCTGGCGTTTTTTGTTGTTTATGAAAGTACTTTTTTAAATAAAAGCATTGCTAGAAAGTATGAATACATAGCATACGAAAGAACACAACAAAATGCGACACTGTCAGGATTGTCTTATCGATATGGGGGTATTTTGAAATACTGAAATGTCACTAGATAATCAGCTGTTATTTGCTCTCAAGTTTGACGTAATGGATTTTCGCGAAAAAACCTTTACACAATTAAGAACGGGGAATAAATTACATTCAAGAGTATCGTCAATCTTCCACATAAAAATTACAATTACAAATGCATGTTTCGAGCATCCACTTTAAACGCTGGCTGTTATGAGTATACATATTAAGTAAAGTTATACTTCATAGATACAGGGTGATTCGAAAAGCAATGCTAATATTTCTAGGATTGAAATACATAAAACGAAAAAATCTGTAAACCTCGTTCCTTAAAGGCCTCCATACCAGTATACAAGTATAAATTCAAAGCAAGAAAGACTGTTGAAATGAAATTTAAAATATTACTAATGAGGCGAAATATATGTTTTCACTTCTGACTGACCTGAAAAACTATTATTATTGACCAAAATAATGAGAATTAGCTTTTTCCCTCTACGTAATTAGCATCAACAACAAACATCTAGGTGAGTAATTAATGTCATTTAAAATTATATTACTCGATGTAGACCTGTCCTTGAATAGGTACCTCTACAATCAGGGTAATATTGTTAAACTGCTTTTTACGTCACACAACCCTTTTTTTCAGCAGCCTGTTTTGAGAAATACTCTTAATACTTTTCATGCTGTGTATGGAGGTGACTGAAAAACCATGTTTTTGTCAAAAAATGTATTTATGTACATTTTTTCAATCTTAACTTATTGGGCTGTATGGGTAGGTAGACTATTTTTTCATTTCACAAATTAACTATATTTGATTTCGTGTAATCCTATTGAGCAAGAAAAACATACATTATGATAGATAAGTTGCCCAAATGCTCCTATAACTGTGGAAACTTCTGAAGTCCAAGGAATTGTGTACATTTTGATAAGCATAAAAAAGGTTTTTGTTTAGACTGAAACTAGGACAAAAGCCGATGATTCGGTTCGGCTGAAAATCCAGTTTCAATCAGTCACTAGTGTTACTCTAGAAATATAACCATTGTTTTTCGACTTATAACAACTTGAGATGATAGCATAACAAAGCTCAGAACAAATGGGTTTTCAATGCAAGAATATTCTGAGATACTCTTAACGGCATCTAAAACATTAGTAATGGAGATGAGGCAAAATAGGAAGAATAACGATTAATAAATATGAACTAATAATGATTAGGCTAAAACATTTTACTAATAATCACATTTAGAAAAACTAAAACTACATAAAAAAATAAATTTTTCGAACTTCTACGAACCAGAAAAATCAACAACGTCAAACATTCAAATATCAAGATAAAGGATTTTACAAGTGCATCATAAAAATCAAAAATCATATGAATTAGGTGGCTAAGACAAATTTTTGCAAATGAAACTACTTGAGTTTGAGTCAGGATTATTATGTACTTTTTAAATACACCTGTGATTACTTTTAAATAGAATTGGTCATGGTCCTACATACCGGGTATTTAAAATAATGATGGTAATATTTTTAGAGCAGAAAGTACATCCAAACAGTACCTATATGTACAGGTCCTAAATGGCCCATTTCCAAGACGTGCAAGTTTCTACCCCACTGATGAGACTGAGTACGGACAAAACATGAACATTGTTGCTATTCTATTGTGGGATAGGATTACTCTCCTGGCATCTTGCCAAAATTTCCAGTCTCAAACTTCAGCGAATTTTTCGATTGATATGGATTTCACCTCAAATATTCAAACCAATTATTCTCCGAAAAGGATGACCTGACAAAAATGTCTCAAGTGAGACAATTCAATCAATCAATTCAAGTGGAATTAAATATCTTATTCAAAAATCCAATGAATTTTTCAAGTCAGTGGAGCTGAATATAATTTTCTTTTACTTCTGTAAGGGTCAAAACATTTTTGTATGTATTCGATATGGTGCTTGGACTACTACAAAAATTCAAGTCAGTGCCTTGATCCATTCCGAATACATATTTTTTTTGCTTTTGAAATTATAACATTGTATAGGGGTAAAGGGGCATTTTTGATTTCATATTCGCGTTATTTTTGGATCTACTTTCCGCTATATAAATATTGCCACTATTCTTTGAACCCCCCTGTGATCCACGTCTTTTTTTTCCTAAGAATTTTTGGAATAAGCTACTGCACTTGAAAATCCCCAGTTATTATATAATGTCTTTTTAAAGACTGAGAACATTAAACTTAAACTTAAAGCACTGTTAGCGTTCACGTAGAAAATCATCTCTATATACTGGGTGTAAAGTTAGCTCTGTTAAAAAGTGACATAACCATTGCCTAATGGTTTAGCTGTAATTGCGATTAATAGTTCATTATCTCGTTTTTTTCGAAATTTCACAAAATTGCAAATATCTCCTGAACTATAAAATTTCGGACCACACATAGAAGGGTTCATTCGATAAGTTTTGTGGCCCTCTATCCATTGACCCACTACTAACTTTACACCCTGTATATATAAACAAACAAATGTATCACATGAACGTTTCAGTATCTTTTTGACATTAACTTAAAATCACAAAAATTGATGACCCAGTAAGCTTTAATGACATTAACTAGGATTATCCGAGATTGAACTGTCAGAAAATGTAACCTTGGCACTATTGTAGATCGCTTCAAGCTGGGGTTGGACATAGCCGAGAAAAGGTCGGTCAGCTGGGTCAGCAGCCCAACATTGCTCCATGAGATTCCAACAGGCCTCTTCAAAGTTTGGAAGACATTCGGGCCTCATACCTGAAAAAAAAAACGTAGTCAAGATGTAACAGGAACAAACATAACACTCATGTGACAAAGGTTGGCTGTCCAGGACAATTTGAGAACAGATTTGGTATATTAAAACAAGTTCATATAGCTATCAATGCATCTGCTAATGCAAAATGTTCATAGTATGGGGTGTGTATACAGGGTGTCCTGAATGTTGGGATTTTCATTTTCTGAAGCAACTGCGTTCGAAATAACAAAGCTAATTTGCGGTAGAACAGCACCGGAAACGTAAAAAAGAGAAGATCTCTATTTATTTGCTAATTTCAAGTACTTACCCACAGTAAACTAACATAAAATTGATAACTACTTTATTGTTCTAGAAATGCACGAATTTCGGTTTTTCAAATGAGACTTCTTCATAAACTATGTTAACCAATAGATCGCGCGGCGTCTGATTTGGATACTGACTCATATCGACACTCACAAGCGCTACTGATTCAATTATTTAGAACTCGTTTTGGTACATGTTAATGTGGCCTTTGATACCATATTTGCTTGTACCAAAACTAATATAAATATCTCAAACTGTTTCCGAGAAATGTAAAGTGAACTACATATTAAAGAGGGTAAAATATGGTGTCCTCAAAATTGGGACTTTCCTTGACAGAGGGCACTTATTTTAACGACTATACATTCACAAGACACTTATCAAACAGAATCAATATGGCTTTTAGAAAATGACCTTTTTTGTAAAAACTGATTTATAATTTTAAGCTAAACATTTAAACACGTTTTATCACCAAATTTTTTTCATGTAAATAAAATAGAAAAAACATGTGACAACTAATTTTACCTTTTTTAACACTATTCCACAACTGCTCCTTGTTTGGAATTGATCAAAGTGATTAGGAAGCTTCACTTGTCCAGAACATATATACCAGAAAAGTATTCCAAAGGCGTACACATCAACTTTTGCATCGTACCTTCCGCTCAACAACTCTGGTGCCATATGTACTGGGGTGCCGACTATACTACCTGACATCATGGCTTCTGGTATACAAAAGCCGAAATCAGTCAGTTTTGCTCGATCTTCAGCGTCCAGCTAAAAGAAAAACAAACGACGTCAAATACATTGAGACACTACTTTCTCACGTTTTTAGATTTATCCAATACATGGGGCAAAAATTTAGGTGGTGAGTCTTTTATGAATTTTTGAAATATCGCTTATTTTAGAGATACAAACCCTTAAAAATGAAGCCACTGGAGATCGGTTTTGCTTAAATAACATTTGAACACTATCATATAATCTAGTGGAATTTTAACAGTATAGTAGGTGAGGCCTCACATGGTGGTGTCCATTAAAACGAATTAGTTGATCTAGTTCGTCAGAAACAGACTAGCCCTAAGCCATATTGCTATTTTTTACACAGTGTAAATAAATCAAAAGTAATGTTTTTAAAAACAGAGTTCTTGTTTAATTCCGATCAAATTAACCATTTCTGAGAAAGACAGTTCCAGTACTGTTTCATCGATTATGATACTGATCCTGATGAACTGATTCTGCTATTTTGAAAATTGTTACAAATTCATATAGGGTGAACCTAAATCCCTTTATCAAGTTCCGGGCTTTTGTCAGACTTTTTAAAGGTTGGTTCCATTGATAGGAGCAATACCGGAACAAAACAAACAAAAGCGATCCATTATATCGAAATCAAACAAGGATACATTTCTTTCGATAAAGGATCCGGCTTTTGAAAAATACAGTTTTGAGCCAATGGTAATAATGATTACGCAGGGGGTTTTTAGAAAGGTTTCAGGGTATCAAAAAATCAATTTATCGATGAACTCAGATATGACTTAGACAATGACCCCAGAGGTCATTTGGAGGTCTACTTTGTAAATTCAAACAGCAACCACCATTATTTAAAGCAAACTCGTGTCGAGCTCGAAACTACATTAAAATCCATTTTCATACATGAGGTCAAGCAGTCTAAGTGGCCAATTAGCATGACATATTGTAACATCTGAAAAGTACACGAATACCCCAAGAACTTGGCAACTATGCCTTTTTGGGAAACAGTTTGGGAGGAATCTAAGGGTATCAGATAAGCAATTTGTCAAAGACCTAGATAACGACCTCGCAGGCTATTTTGAGACCAACTCTGTAAATTTAAAGAGCAACCACCATTTTTGATAGCAGATTCGTGTCGAGCTCGAATTTTTACATCAATACATTTTCATACAAGAGGTAAGGTGATCATTATAAGTCATTAGTAACAAACACCCGATAACTATGCATTTTTGAAATAAAGTTCTGAGACTAAAAAGGGATGTTGTTATGACATGTAGTGCACTCTGACCATACAGAGTGAAGAAAAGTGCGTGGTTGCCACGTTTTTGTGTGCTTTTCAGACGTTACAGTAGTTCATGATTATACCTCTCATGACTACCTGATTTCATGCATGAAAAAGCATTCGGTTGTAGAACCTAAAGCTCGACACAAATCTCCAGTCAAAAATATTGGTTGTTATTTGAATTAGAACGTTAACCTCTAAATGACCTCTGAGGTCATCGGCAAATTGCTTTTTTGATATCCTCCAACTTTTCTCTCACCTTTTTTTGTGCTTCAAGATGAACCGATTTCCGGTGGCGTCCTGTATTTATCTTATGTTTCGGAAAGACCCTGGAGAATGGTCATCAAATCATAAACACAGAATACTTGGCAAGACAAAAAGGTGCTACAGATGAAGCAACTGGATTATTAAATTTCAAACTACGAGGATTGTCTCAAAACTAATGAAGGGATAATTTTTTCAGGCACAAGGAATTTTTTATTTGAAAAAACGTTTTTACTATTGGAAACGTTTCTATACAGGGTGATTCACAATTTATCCGACAAATTTTAACCACATATGCACTGTTACGAAATAAGATGATTGACCGCCTAGGTGCTCCATCAATTTCGAAAACGGTATGTCATGGCTGTAAGGGAATAGACAAAGACTTCCCAGCCAAATCGCTCGATCAAGTCTTTTCTCAGCTTTTTCAGAAGCCTTAGAAATGTCAACCGCCTGTTCCCGGATCGTGGTTCGCCAATCTTCGAGCAAGATTTGCTCAATCTTCGCCATAACTTCCTCGGAAATCGACGGCCTCCCGTTTCCTTGTTCATCGTGGATGCCCATGTCGCCGTCAAAGAACTCTCTTCGCTATTTGAAGACATTTTGAATGCATGTTTCCCACATACTTCACTCAACTCGCGATGAATTTCTATGGGTGGTAACTTTTTGCGTGTAAAAATCGGAAGACCGCGCGATTTCCCACCTGGCGGTGACGGCGATGTAGGGCTCCATTGCGCATGGCTGGTTAGGTCGATACTGAGCGTCGCCAATAGGCGCTTCTTGTTGGTATCCGTAGTGGGGGCGCCGACAAAGGACGACGTTGCCAGATTTCACCAAGCATCACGCGGGGCCAAGTTACAGCGTTGGGAAACTTATTTTTGAAACAACCCTCGTAATTGAATATCCAAAAACTGGAATTTGAAATTGAAAAACGAACAAAAATAATCCAAAAGGCAAATTATATTATATAATACTCTGTAGTGACCATGCTTTATTTAGAAATGAGGATATTCATTCAACTTACCAGAACATTCTTCAATTTGATATCCCTATGTACCAAGCCCTGAGAATGCAGGTATCTGATGCCTTCGATGACATCAATAGCAATTTTGAGCCTTATTATCCAGGACAGACCACAACGTAAGCCACAATACAGATCTCTGGTCATTCTTTCCATCACCAATAGTACAGCTGGTGAGCTTCCACCTCCATATTTATAATCTATCACGGAACCTCTCAGTTTCACTATCCTAGGGTGTTCTGGGATAGTTCTAGAAAATTGTGATTAAAGATTATAACACAAAAGAATCGCTAGCCTATTTATTAATTTGACTGCTTGCTAACTTCCAAAATTCCATCAAGGACCTGGACGAAAAAAACACGTGGGTCACAAATTCTGCCATTGGGAAGGCGTCTTTGAGGTGATGGATTTAATGAATTTCTGGTAAAATTTCGCTCAAACTAGAAAAAAATTATACGGTTTCTGTAAGATGGGCCCCTAAGTCCCACATTAAATGAAGAAATACGTCATAAGCCACTTGGTTAGGCTACAAAAAATAATTTTTCATTTGCGTCCAGACACTAAATTAGCGGCTATGATCATATAATGCATCAATGAAAAATAAGCATTTGTGCCATACTCGAAACATCGACACACATCTTATACAAAATCTACAGGGTCCGGCACAAAAGACGGATATTTTTGAAATGGCTAGTACTCTCCGCCTATTCGGGCGAGAGTGGTGGGGAGAGTGCCGTTCGACTTGGACGTTCCTAGCATTTTTACCAGTAGACATTATAGAGCAGTAGATGGCTGAGCACCTGGGTTTTCGCGTACGTACGTACGTATTCATCGGAATCGAGCTGCTCCTTCTCGAAACACCATCCGTCGTTGGATTCAATCACTTCGCAACACGTAGTGTACTGACCAAGTGCACCAGGGGCTCCACGAACGGTTCGAACCCCTGAAAATGTGGAACGCGTTCGACAAGTCCTCCTTCGCAGTCCAGCTCGATCTGCTCGGCAACACGCTACTGAACTTCGCCTCAGTGATCGTTCGGTAAGTCGTATATTGCATATGGAACTCCACTGTCAGCCCTACAAATTGGCCATTGTGCAACAGTTACAGCCTGGAGATTACGCACAATGAATGAACCTCGCATGTGAGATGGAAGCACCTATCGAGCAAAATGAGAACCTCATTTTGTTCATGAATGATGAACCTCACTTTCATCTTAATGGCATGGTTAAGCTGCAGAATTGCCGCTGCACACCCCAAAAGTGACGGTTTGGAGTGCTGTATCGCAAACTTGCATCATCGGCCCTTACATCTTCGCAGAGGGTAATGGCTATGCCGTTACCGTAAACTCAGAGCGCTATGTCGAAGTGACCACCAACTTCTTTTCACCTGAATTACGATGACGGCGTATTATTCCATTCCGGCATGTGTGGTTCCAACAGGATGGGGCGACCGCCCACACAGCCAGAGCAACGATGAACGTTATTCGCCCTCTCTGCCGTGGTCGCCTTATTTCCAGGTTTGGTGATGTCTATTGGCCTCCTCAGTCCCAGATTTAACCATCTGCGAATTTTTCCTATGGGAACACCTCAAGGCTAGTGTATACGAGCACACGCCCGCCTCGAACTCTGGAAGAGTTGAAGGAGGCAATTCGCGAGGAAGTCGCCCAAGTCTCACGCCGTCTACTGCACAGTAGGACAACTACTTCTAGCCTTGGTACTATCAACGCAGCGCAGCGTGGTCGTGTAGTCGTCCTACCGTCCAGTAGAGTACGCGACATCTTCCTGTAACGGTAAGTAAGTCAACTGATTATTTTCTCGATCTTTGTTAAAAAATAAGCACTCTGCAATTTTATTTGTCTTCAAATAATTTATTAAGCAGAATTTTGGTCAGCAACAATGAGACATGGTATTTTCAATAAAATGCTCATGTAAATTTATTGTATCAGGTTTGATCCATGTTTCGGGTAGGCCGTAAATCCTTTTTGATTGGTGGAATTTGCGTCAACTTTTCTGTCCGGACACAAATTAAAAATAGATTTTTGTAGCTGAATTATGTCATATATGGAGTATTTCTTGATTTCAAAAATCGTCAAACGTAAAAACTTCCAAGCATTTTTATAAAATGTGACCAAACAAGAGCCAACTTAAATATGATTTTAATGCAAGTGCTTGAGAGATTTGAGATGTCGCTTATCGGATGTGGGTAAATCACAACCATACCTGGTATAAAAGAATTCCATTGCCAAGTCGTTCCAATGTCTGTCATCTGGAGGTACTACAGACTTGATTGCACAAACTTTAACGTCACCCCAAGGCTCGCAGGCATACACTACTCCATACTGCCCCCTACCTATTTCTTTAATTTGTTTTGGTTTTCCATACCTAAAGGAAAAACGGCATCAAGATAATTAAATCTGTACTTACCACTCCCATTCTGTCATCGATTGGATCATGCTTGGTTTATTTCCAAATCTGACGCCATATAAACAATGATAAAAATCGAACAAAGTAAATGCATGAGAGATATAGAGAGAACCTACTTGGAAAAAATGTCTAGCAGAACGAATATAATTTCCATGTTTGTTTTATTTTTGTTTATATACATGAGGTCTGTAAATTAGGTAATAAGACTGGCAACGTAGCGTTCGATCTGGCAACACTGGAGGCGTCGGGCTTGGAGGGGAGACAAGGAAAGAATGATCGAACAAATAGGTGTTACAGCACGATAATACTCCTTGTCGCACAGCAATGTCAATAAACGAGTTTTTGGCCTGTGAAAACATTCCTGTGACTCCTCAGCCTCGTTATGCACCTGACTTGAGTCCTTGTGACTTTTTTCTCTTCCCGAATTTGAAAAATCACCTCAAGGGGACAGTCGAAAACATTCAAACGTATGTAACCGACCAGCTGAAGCCTATTCCAGTTCTGCTATGAGAAGTGGAAGAATAGTCCCCAGCACTGTGTAGCTTCAGAAGGAAGTTATTTTGAGAGTGACAATACGAAATTGTAATTATATTTGAATAAAAAAATAAGTCCAGCATTCGAGCCCAGACGCATGTCATATAAGTTTTACTGGCCGTTGAGTCCAATCCAGAGATCAGTTTGTCTCTAGAAAGGCATTTGAAGGAGATTTTAAGGCCACTAAATGGACAAATTCGAAAATATTGAATAACCGTTCCCGACCACCTCCCATAATATAGGTATACATGAAAAAACCAAATTTGTCTGAAGCGCATGTTCGAAAGAGATAGGAGCAGGATGAAGAGCGAAGGACATCACCACATTGCCTAGCGATGGTAAAGCATCGTGCAATCTGCCGGGTCGCCAATATGTTACACCAGAAAATGTTCCCACAGGCGTCTGCAGTAGGTTAGGTTACTCTCTAAAAAGAAGGAGGTCTGTTCAAATATTTAATTTAATAATTTGTTTTCATTTTGACTAGAACTGTTTATTTCAATATTGATGCGACGATTTTGACACTGACCAAAATCGCTCATCTATTATCATGTAGGTGGAAACCTTGCCTTGGAATGTACGAGATGCGGTGTTGCCAAGCAAACCAATGATACTATGTTGCTGAATTTGTGGCGATCCTGACCTTCCATTTCGACCTAAAATGGGGCGCCGTCAGGACCCATCTGGAAGCAATCCTAAGCAGATTCGACACAATTAAAAAATGTGTACGCTCAACATAAAACCATTATTTTGACGTAGAGAATTAACTAACGCATATTTTCGACATGCGTCTTAATTAAAGGAATTGGTGTAACATATTGACAACGCGGCACATTGCCGCATCAGCGTTGCTAGACAGCGCGGTAATGAGATTCGCTATTCAGCCGGCTTCTATCTTTTGCTAACATATGTGCCTATACACACTTCTCTCTCATGCACATTGAACTCAAGCCGACCGACAAATTTGGTTTTCACTGTATAAGGTTGTATTTCTCAATAGCTTGCAAAAGTTAACAAAAGCTGATACTGTAGTTTATCTGGCAGTATGTCAAGGTTCACAAACATCATTTATTCCAATTGGGGCAATTATTAGAATTCTCGGAATAATACACTAATATAAAGAAGTGAAGTTAAAAATAGTAGCCTGTTCAGTTCACAGTGTTCATAAAAACAGCAATAACGACAGATTTCTCTTAAATCAAATGAAAGTTCGTACTCTCTTTATTATGACGCATATAGATATATCAAATATTTGCAACACACACAACGCATCACAATAAAAAATATCTCAAATTTTCCCATTAAAAAGTAATATCGAATGATACACCACAAACTTCAAGTTTAGTAGTCTGTCATGATGCCGGTAGTGGAATCAAAATTCTGATTGTATGGCCAACATATTGTTTAAGGTATTAACTTCAAAACAAGCAATTTTCATTCATTTTCGGTACTTTGTTTTTCAATTTTTGCAAGATTTTCGCATAGATAGACCATTGTGAGGCGTCAAGTTCGGCACGACAGAAGACCTGCACGACCCCGAATGTTCCAAATTGAGGAAGTTTTTTTTTCGTTGCTATTTCATTGCATATTAGCTTTACTTCAAGCATAGTTGTTTGTGAAAAAGAAAGTCTCAGCCTTCACAACATGCATAATCTAGGAATGACACACTCCTGGATGGATATCTACATGTAATAAATATTTTTGTGTAAAAAAACATCCCTCATATTTGCTGAATGAAATTGAAAATGATACCTGAATAAATCACAAAGTGAAGTACTTTCCAAAGCAAGCCTTGCAAACCTAGGAGCATGTTTTTTACGTATTGCTATCCTCTGTTCTTCAGTTTGCTCCAATTGTCCTGAAAGTTGGTGGTCTAAGGATCGTATCGCTTGCTGAAATGCTTCATGAGAAGACTTGATATGTTCTTTAAACTGGAAAAAATAATGAGTCATTTGAGAGAGTATCAATAACTGCTCAAGATTTGAATTGTTTCAATAAGAGAAATGAGCATGTCCCATCAAATTGGTTCGACGCTGCATTACTGGTTGTCTGTTTTACAACAAAAACACAGCCACATATGAGATTCAAGGGCATACGGTCAATGAAGCATATATGCAGAGTTGCCAAGTTACCATAAAATGTTTAAAAACGGCTATATTTATAATGTGCTGGTTGAAAAGTTGTAATATTGTTGCTCATTCTCTAGAATCATTTCTCCACAATACTAGAAAATATTTGACCAAGAACGCAATTTTGACGACCACATTTGCTAAAATAAGAATGTCAGATCTCGGATCTAAAATCTAATGAAGCTTCTAAGAATACTATTTATTATGGGATCAACTTGTGAACGTGAACGAATCATTACAATCTATGTTACCTTCTATGATTAGTCTGATCAATACTTTTATTCAAGTTATATATTCAAATATTTTCCAACATGCAACACATTGAATAAATGAAAAATATATTTGGTAGACTGCAATTAGTTAATAAATATCCTGACAATGAATAAATGTAAGTCTAACTAAAAACAAATTAGAACAAAAAATGCTTAATTTTTCGTTATGGGTGATGTATTAATACAAAAAGAGTGATCTATCTGACAAAGCCGCAATTTGGCCAGTCTCTCTATCTAATTGTGTGCACCTTGTATGCCTTATCTTGTAGAGATGTGAGTCATTTAAGATACAAGTATCTAAAATACAGATACCAGATACAAAATACGTATTTTCATCTTGAATCTAATTAGTAATGGGTGATTTGATTTTAAAAAAAAATACAAAAAATTTTAAAAAACGATTAAATCTTTATTTGAGTCGATAGAACGGTCGATATAATTTAATGTTTAAAGATTATTTCATGTAAATGTTGACCGCGGCTCCGCTTTAGCTGGCCCATGCGCGAGGTCCAATTTTGGCACACTCTCTCCAACATATCGGCCGGTATCTCACGAATAAATGCATCAATATTTTCTTCCTGTGCGTCAATCGTTGCTGGTTTATCCCTGTAGACACTAGCCTTAACATGGCCCCACAAGAAATAGTCCAACGGCGTTAAATCACACGATCTAGGCGGCCAATTGGCGGGCCCCAAACGTGAGATAAACTGTTCACCGAACTCGCCACTCAATAGGACCTTTGTTTCGTGTGCGGTGTGGCATGTGGCACAGTCTTGTTGAAACCACATGTCAGCCAAGTCCAGCTCTTCCATTTTGGGCAAAAAAAGTTTGTTATCGTCGCACGGTAGCGCTCGCCATTCACAGTTACGTTCCGGTCATTGTCGTCTTTAAAGAAGAACGGCCCGATGATCCCACCGGCCCATAATCCACACCAAACAGTGATTTTTTCGGGATGCATTGGTAGCTCTTGCAATGCTTTTGGCTGGTCTTCACTCCAGATACGGCAATTTTGCTGGTTAACGTACCCATTCAACCAGAAATGAGCTTAGTCGCTGAACACAATTTTTCGATAAAAATGTGGATCTTCCTCCAACTTTGCCAGCGCCCATTCACCAAATGGGAAACGTTGTGGGAGGTCATGTGGCTTCAATTCTTGCACCAGCTATATCTTATAAGGTTTTACACCCAAATCCTGTCGCAAAATTTTCCACGTAGTGAAGTAACAGAGGCCCAATTGCTGCGAACGGCGGCAAATCGACATTTCACGGTGATCACTAACACTGGCGGATACAGCCGCAATATTTTCTTCAGTCCTCACTCTACGTCTGCGAGTTGGTGGTTTAATGTCCAATAATGTAAACTGGGTTCGAAATTTAGTCACAAGCTTCCGAATAGCTCCCTCAGTAGGCCGACCAAATTGCCCATAAATTGGAAGCAGTGCTCGATGCACTCTCTTAACCGAGCATGAATTTTGATAGTAAAATTCAATAATTTGCAAGCGTTGTTCGTTCGTAAGACGATTCATGGTTAAATTATAGACCAAACTGAACAAGTTTGACAATGACACAAGACACGATTCACGCGTCATCTGTCAAAAACAGTGTTGCCAAAAAGATACTAGCAAAATAATCACCCATTATTTAGTTGCGTTTCCTTTTATGTCTTATTATTTCGTAAATATCATGTTTGCTGAAGCTTAAAGATCCAGCAATAAAAGTATTTTGAGGAGTGACTCTCCTCTTTTTGTGTATGATAATAAGGTATCATCGAAGGAAAATGAGTGATAAAATGATCTGGCTTTATTGTATCAAATAGATCCTTGAAAGTATAATATTGTCACATCTGCAGGATAACGCGATCTATTCATTAATAATTCAAGTAATAAAATAATCTCCTACTCAATAAAATGTTGTTTTATCTTTAAAAAGTACTTGAAACATACGTATTTTGTATCTAGTATTTCAGATACCATTTCAGGAAGTATATTAGTATATATTTGATATCTGGAATACTTAGTTTAAAAGTAATTTGTATTCCGGATACTCTGTATAAGGTATCTTGTACATCACTGTTCTCTTAGTTCCTCCCCTTTGGAAATACCTTACTGGCAATGGTAGTTCCTTACCTGTACGCATATATTCTTGGCAAGCTTGGAAGCACTGAGTTTTTCAATCATATTCGTAGCAACTTGTAGTTGCCATTGTAGGTTGCAGTGTACTTGACCTGATGGTGACCAAGGCAGCGCAAACGTTGTCAGCAAGGCTTTCAGTCGATCCATCAACGTATGGACAATTGAAAACGAGGCTGACGAGTTGAGATCCACATTATACGCAGCTGTGATAATCTGTTTGACGGCATCTGAAGCGGAGAGGTTCCCTTCAACTTCATGGCAGTTCTTTTCCAAGCTTTCCAGGCATCTCTGCAGGGTACCAGTGAAACTTTCGTGGAGACATCCGACTGATTGAACAATTTGGGTTGCTACTGAAGTATTTAGTTTTCGCAAAACCAACTGCTGGATTTCCATGGTTGCAGTTTTGGAGTTTAGCTGACGATTGCTATCTGTTATGGAAAAAATACAATCCTGAAGTTTTTAACTTGGAACCTTGGACGGTATTTTCGGTATTGAAGGCACGGGTTAACATATTCTCAAGAAGATGCCGAACCGTATGCTGCACTTGGGCACCGCGACTAGTATAGGGAGCTTAAAGACGCCTTGTTAATCCGATTATTAAACTGCCCAAGTACAAGAGCTCGGAAAAAGCCTCCTCAGTCTACAGTATATTCAGATAAGAGATAGACCGGATGTAAACAAAAGGTTCGGGTGATTTTCACGCTGACGCCGCCGTCTCGACGTAAAACAGGAGCCCTCATTGGTCAATTCGCAATTAAATGCCTATGCCGAGCAGCAGAGCAGTCGTATCAAGGCAGAGTCACATTCAGGTTCAGACGTGTTACGTATGTCGTGTGCATCATTGCAATTTGATATTACTTTGGACGTTTTCGTTTGTTATCTTATTAAGTTGTTGAGTTTGTCGTTGTTATTGTTATACCTTGTTATTGATTGTTATTGTTATCAACTGCTTGCGCAAAATGCCCAGTAGTACAGATACTACCGATGAAGTTGTAAACTCCTGTAGTCCACCTAGGAAACGCTCTAAAAAAAGACACCTGAGTCCAGAAATGAAAGAGATGATTTTGAATATATATAAGATCGAGCGCGAGGAGAACGAGGCATCAACCATCAAAGAAATTGTTGTGAAGGTTTCTCACAAAGTTGGGGTGTGTCGCGCATCAGTGTTTAATGTGTTAAGACAATACAAAAAAAATCACACCTTTTCTGAGCCAATGACCAGTAAACATCGCAAAAGTATTGTTAAATCATTGGATGAAGCTGATAAGCATGCGATTAGGAGGAAAGTGCATGAATTCTTCTTTAGGAATGAAATACCTACTATAGATAAAGTACTGCAGGAGGTAAATGGAGATACAACGTTGCCAAATTTCAAACGATCAACTTTCCATGCGTTACTGAAGCATTTAAATTTCAAATGGAAAAAACGGGGTCGTAATAGTTTACTACTGGATAGAGAAGAAATTGTGCTATGGAGGAGGGATTATTTAACAAAAATTGGGAAATATAGAAATCAAAACAGGAAGATTTATTACCTTGATGAAACGTGGGTAAACGCAGGACACACTACAAGTAAAGTATGGGTTGATAATTCTGTAACTTCATCCAGGAGGGCCTTTCTAGATGGACTGTCCACCGGATTAAAAAATCCAGCAGGTAAATACGAGTAATAGACAACAATCGGATGTTTTTCAAACCTTGGACACAAGGTTCTAAACATTAATTCCAGGGGGCAGATAAAACATATTACAAGTAACAAAACTTTTATAACTTTCGATAAAATGCGTGGATGTTTTATTGTCATTTTCATTTGTTAGAACTTTTTTAAGCCATGTTTTTATGTGTTTTCGATATTTCAATAATTTTTTAATATAATCTTAAAATATGTCGAATATTATAAACTTAAAAAAAGTTACTAAGTTTTATATTGTGTACCGTTCCTAATATTTCTAATCATTTTAATTCATACTTTAAGCTTTATAAAGTTATAATTTGTTAATATTAATATTTGCGCGTATTTCAGGTTCCTGATCATTCATTTTTTAAAGGTTTATAACTTTAAATTAAATTGTGAAGCGCTGAGTAATCATACGACGTTCAATATTCTTTCTTTCAATATGACTAAATAATCCCAATTATAGCAATCTGATACTCATGTCTCAAAGTTTTTTTGCTGAATGTGATGAAAACATTTGAAAAAGGTTCGCTTATTGAAATAAATCTACACCAGTTAGTACTTCGATTTCCAGGTAAAGGGAAAAGGCTCATTATCTGCCATATTGACAGTGAGGATGGATTTGTTGTTGACGGTCTGTGGTGCTTTGAGTCTAAGAAAACTGGAGATTACCACGAGGAAATGAATGGCGAATCGTTTGAACAGTGGTTTTCAAAAATTTTACCGAACTTAGAGGAAAACGCAGTAATTGTGTTGGATAATGCGCCGTATCATTCTCGAAGAATGGAGAAGGTCCCAACAACGGCTTCAAGGAAAGTTGATGTTTAAAATTGGCTCCGCTCGAAAAATATCAACTTTGAAGAAGCAATGCTGAAAGTACAAGTATTAAGAATTGTCAAGGATCACAAGGCGGAATATCAAAAATACGCCATTGACGAAATGGCAGCAAGTCAAAATAAAACTGTGCTCCGTTTACCTCCATACCATTGCGAGCTCAATCCCATTGAGCTCATATGGGCAGAGGCTAAAAATTATATAGCTAAGCACAATACAACTTTTAAATTTTGTGACCTCAAAGGACTTTTCAAGGAAGCACTAGAATTAATAACAGCGTAAAAATGGGAAAACTGTATTAAGCACGTGAAAGACAAAGTGGAAAAGAGAATGTGGGAACTGGACAATATTTTAGAGGAACAAGTCGAGCCATTCATTATTGACGTTGGTGCTTCAGGCAGTAGCGATGATGAAAGCTCATCAAGCTCATCTTTCCAATAAGATGTCGTTCATCAAATTCGGTAAGTTATAAGTAATTATAAAGCTACTGTATTTTTTAATTAATTATTGACATTTTTGAACCCATTTTGGCAAAACCTATTCAAGAATCTACTTTCTGACAATGTTCAACCATGCACATTTTTTTACGTTTTGAACGTTTTAATTTGGTTACATATTTACCTAGAAATCAAAAAATATACTAATCAATATTCTAAAAGCAATTTTAAGAGATATACGATTATTTTTAATTTAGGCTAATTTAAACGCCATTTTGAGATTATATTCGACTGTATTTCACCAAACATCAGGCGGCATCCGAAGCTGGAAATCGAAGCGAAAATTTTGAAACCCTTATGTATATTTACATCATTATATATTTCTTACCCCACCCCCCACATGATCCTATATCCATCACCAATCGTATACACATCGAATTGTGCTAATTTACTACAAAGTTACGCAAAGCAGCATCTACTATCTAAAATATGTACTGCGTGACTCTTAATACGTCCCTGCCGAATGTTACAGCGTTCGATGATCACGTGGTCTTGTTTATGTCCGGTCTATCTCTTATTTGAATATACTTTAGGACCTAGGAACAAGGGAGCGGTCGTACAGGTTAGCGGGTCTGTCTGTCCGTTGACATAGCGGTAGTAGACAGCCAGATTGCCGACAGCTCATCGGTGCGAGAGGGTCCCGAGACTGGCCGTTAGAGAAGTATCATTGATCAATCGGGTAGTCCTCCTCCGAACAGTATCGAATATTGACAAAGTCAAAACGGGAGCACCCCAAACATGTGAGCAGTACTCGAGACTAGGTGTTATTTGGGCCTTGTAAAGAGTAAGGAGGTTATGTGCAGGAAAGTAATTTTTAGCCCAAAACAAATCATCCAGTTTTTTCAAAGCAGCTGTTGCGATTGACGAGATGGGTTCGTGACAAATAAAGACCTCGTGATCTGAACTGCGACCACCTGAAATGGATGGCTCTTTAGCAGAACCCTGCCATTCGAAACCGGACGAACGCTAGGGCGCTTCTTATTAGTCAAGGTACTATGCTTTGGAAGCAATAAGCTGTACCATAATGTTGCGTCCCCAAGCAGTGTTTGCTACCAGAGCTCTCGTCAGAGAGGAAGTCGTTGACAAATAGGACCGCCGTAAATCCCTTAGAGCTAACAAAAACAGATTATTTTTTCTTTTAAATAAATGTTTAAACAAGACATTAACATTTCAAAGAACCACCAACGGATACTCATTCTTGAGATTTCGTATTCTATGAGTTTTTAAACGACGGAAAAGGAAAACCCATCACCTGCGTCAACAGTCCCATATGTGGCAACGCTGGCATCTAAAGAAGGTGGTCGACGCTTATAAAGTTGCAAGCATAAGTGGTTGGCAGTGCCACGGTATACTGAACTGGGTATCTTCTGGTGGAATATGTTAAACAATGGTCAAAGTGCTTTTTTAGTGACTTTAGTGACGTGGTGGTGGGAATCAACACCAGGACTTTAGGAACATGCCATATTTCATCAATGTTTTTCACATTCTTATAAGAAAATACCATGAGGTTGCAGCTTGAAAGTGGCAATTGTTCAATGAATAATCATAAAAAGAAACAAGTTGGAAAATGAACTGAATATGGGCAATAAGTATTAGCTTACTGTTTTGATTGTATCCTTCCAAAACTTCAGCAACATTCGATTTCATATCTAAAAGAGTCCTTTGGATTATTGCAGTTATTTCTTCTTGTTGCTCGCAAGCAATAAGCATCAGAGTGTCATAGAGCTGTAGTTCAATCTTTTGAGCATATTCTATCCTCTTTGGTGTTATTTGTATTTCTCTGGCCATGTCAAATGCTCTCATTATAAATTTCCGTAAACATTTATTGTGTATCTCACTCAGTTTGACCGCCACGTTGAAAGCCGTGGATCTGATTACTGCACTTAGATATAAATATAATTCTTCATTGATTTTTTTATCACAAATTAGAGTATCCAGAACGCATATACATTTCGCTTTCATCATTTTATCAGTCTTAATATTTTCAATATCGTCTAAAAATCCTGAAAAATATAAAATAAATATGAAAGATTATATGAAATACCGATAAAAAAGATCTTACGGAAGCTACGAGCCCTTGTCAAAACATTAGAATGAAATTTTCTATACAAGGTCTTTATAAAGTTTCAGGTCAAACCTCAAAGGATCATCCTTTGATAGACGCCATGTTCGATTTATATGGACATTGTTCCGATTATGCTTCCTTTTATATAATTCTTCGGTTCTCTTTGAAATGCGATTTTTCGGGAAAATCTCAATAAATGGATTGTTTCACAAGCTGTATGGCATGCGGCGCTATCTTATTGAAACTACACGTTATTCGCATCACCATAATCCAATTTAGGCAGAAATGCAGTGATCCCGTTGCTTCACAAGACCTATGGCATGTCTTTTTTATACCGAAGCAGCCGCGTAGGCAGAAGCCTAAATACCGGGGCAGCGCGACTGCTATAAGAGAGAACCCGAAACATGTGAGGAGTACATGTATTATCTGGGACCTGGAAAATTATCCAAGCTTGTTTCCAGCAGCTGTCGCGATTTACGAAATGTGTTCGTGCCAAATAGTTCTCGGTGATCTGGACTCCGAACAGCCGAAATAAACGGCTCTTCACTACAGCCATCGACACCGCATGAGCGCTAGGGCGCCTCTTCTTAGTCAAGTTACAGGACTATGATTTTGACTTGGCACTCTGAATTCCTGCATGAAGCAGCAAAACTGTAGATCAGATTCATCGTACAGGAAAGAAAAGCACCGCATTCTTAAAGGAAACCCACAGGCATTCGTAGATTGAAGAGAAAAAATCGAAAAAACGAAATTCAGCCACATACATGTAAAATAGTCATGGAAAATATCGATAAAACAACGTACAGCAGCAAAGCTAAAGAGGCCGTTTGAGTGATGTGCTACACATAACCTATACTGTGTAATTTATTATTCAATAAAAAAACAACAAACTGCAGTATAAAAATTGTTGTAGAATTCTGCTTTCAACGCGGTAAGCAGAACAACGGACCGGCTAGCGGGACGTTGTAGTTGATTTTTCTAGAGGACATAGACAATAAATAATTTTGTGTTTCATGAAATGTCTGACGAAGATATTATAAAAGAGGTTTCTAATTATACAACAAACAATCAGGAAAATAACGACGACGTGATTGCAACTGCTCCACAAGTCACAGCACAAGACGCAATTAACGCCTTTGAGCTAGGTTTACCATGGGCTGAAAAGAATGGTACATCCTACAACGAACTTTTACTTTTGAGAAGACTGAGGGACAAAGCTCTGAACTCGCGTTATAACAACCTTAAACAAAAAAAATTGATGAATATTTCCAAGCTTCATAATTTGATAAATTCATCAATGATTTTGATTAATAATTCTTGATTATTTTGGTACATATGTATGTGCATTTATGCTTAATTTTATAATAAAACGTAAGCTCTCTATTGTTATTTAATTTACTAAATTCGACATACATAAACTATGTATGATTTCTACTTCAAAGTACATACATATACATGACATACATAATCTTAACAATGGATATGTAATTTGTCAGATTACAAGGTACCCTTTTGTAAAAAATTCCGAACTATAGGGGGTCTTAGGCAGTGCTGTATAATCCGACAAATTCGATAGTCCGACACTGCCCTGCATAATGTTTGTCGGATTACCGGAGGTCCACTGTAGTTTTAGAGCTATTTGACAAATTTGCACCCTATCGAATCGCCAGCTCCCTGGCTGACTGATAATATTAAATTTCTAATGAAGCTTAGAGATGACAAATTCACTGCCTATAGGAGGATCAAGGTGTGATCAGAAATGGGAGGAATACAAGAAGTTACGTAATATAGTAAAATTAGCAACTGATGCTAAAAAGGTTCATTTGGAACATAAAATTAGCAGTACGAACTATACGACTTTATGGAAAGATTTGGAAGCTATGAACGTTGGCAATAAGACAGCCAGGTCACCTATTCCAGTAGATTTAGCTGATATTGACGAAATGAACCGGTACTTTACGTCTTTATCTAGTGCAGGTATAGAACCTGATGCTGATACACTTTCTTTTTATAAGAATAATGTCAAACCTAATGTATCCCTCTTTGTATTCGCTTTGGCGTCCACAGATCAGGTGAAAGATACTTTGTTTGGCTTCAAAAATGAAGCATTTGGTGCTGATGTGATAAATATCGAAATGCTGTTGTATTGGTGCCAAAAAATTATTCCTTTCATTACACATATCATTAATGCATATTGCGTCGCTATTTTCCTTTTTGCTGGAAGCACGCTTAGATTGTACCTTTGCCTAAAGTTGCTCAGCCATCTGAGCTCAAGGATTTGCGTAATATTAGTATATTGCCAACATTGTCTAAATCGCTTGAATCAATAATGGATGTTCAGATAAGAGAACACTTAAGAACGAATAACCTCATTATAGATACACAATCAGGGTTCCGTCCGGCGCATAGCTGTGCAACAGCATTGCTGGGAGTGGTGGAAGATGTATTATGTAGTGCTGACAAAAGTAACCTGACTGCCTTGGTGCTCTTAGATTATACGAAGGCATTGACAGGATACAACATGACCTACTCTTAACCATACTCCACTTTTACGGATTCTCGGCCAATGCAGAGTCTCTAATACGTAGCTACTTCAGCGATCGTCAACAGCAGGTAATGCTGAATGATAAGTACTCCACGCCAATGAAAGTGACCATTGGTGTTCGTCAGGGCTCTATTCTGGGTCCGCTAATGTTCATTATTTACACCTCTAATCTATACTTCAGTCTGCACTCTTGTAAAGCTCATTTTTATGCAAATGATACACAAACATTGCCTGCTGTTGATCTGATAAATAAAGACCTTGACCGTCTCACGAAAGCGTCTCGAAACATATGCTTAGACTTGAATCCGGCTAAAAGTACAGTCATGTTATTCGGGCCGAAAAATTGGAGAGACCATTGTGAACCTCTAGTGAAAATAAACCTCGACAACAATACTTTAGAAATCAGCTCGATAGCGCGTAATTTAAGCTTATACCTTGACAAAAACTTTGAGGATCATGTTAACAAGTGCTCCAGAAGGGCGTATTGTAAATTAAAGACGACATACGGTCAAAAATCTTACATGAACCAAAAAACTAAAGTCATACTATGCAGTTCTCTTGTTCTGTCGCATTTTAACTTCTGTGATGTCGTCTATGACAAATGTCTAAGTAAATTCACCTCTGATAAAATACAACGCGTGCAAAATTCTTGTGTGAGACTTATTTTTGGTTTAAGAAAATACGATTCTGTTTCATCAAAGCTTACTGATGCTGGCTGGCTGAACATGGCATTGAGGATAGTTGTTATGCTTTCATTTGTTGTCACAGATATCTAGCTGTCCGTGGTTGGCTGACTTTGATCGGACGGACGAAAGCAGCATGTTCGTTAGACCCACTGAGAAAAAAGTTAGCTACGAACATGTATAACAGAAAAAATCAATGGATCAAGTCCGTCAAACAGGTCCATACAATTAGTCCATATATATCCTCTAACTGCCCTACCCGCAATACTGTCCATCTGGCAACGTCGCCTCTTCCCAATACCACGATGCGTCAAACATGGCAGCGCGACAGAGCACCAGACATGCGAGGAGACATAATGACCGGTTGCCGGCCGAAGAAGCCAAACAGAAGAAACAGGTACGGAAGTATCAAAAAATTGCGATAATACATCATCCCCCACCCCCACAACCCTGCATCCCCCATTTTTTATCCCTAAAGAATTTTTCAATAATGTTCAGGATCATGTGAAATGTCAAAAGACGAAGTTTGAGCCATTTTTAACTTTTTTCGTTTTTGGCATTTCTCTCCGCCGCCACTGGACCGATTTTCAAAAACTGCTAATCCAAGTGGTACTTTCCGAGTTGTAGACGGGTCAAGGATCAAGTCCAACAGAAATGAGTGACATGTTTTTCCGTGATATCATATAACATAAAAAAACAAAATCTCATTTTTGAAATTTTTCGCGATTACAATACTTCCTCGCTCGTAGACATGGGATGTAAAACAATGGTACGCAAATTTATAAACCTAAAATATTTGTTATCAATGTTTATGAATGGTAACTGACCTACTCATTCTCCAAGTAATAAATGTTCCAGTATAACACAATATTGTGAATAAATACTTGTAGATATCAGAAATAATGTGTATGATAAATATAAGCAAATGTAATATTTGTCACTGATAAGTTCTTGATAAACATGAACTATACATAATTTAATATTAAAAATAACAGATATGACTGACTCACCTAGTCTAACTAACTGATCACGTAGATTATGTAACTTTGATGTCTTCTTACTTCTATTGCACTCTATCAAGTGTTGCTCAGATTCTGTTAAGGACTCAGTACTTGCCTTTGTTGCAGAGATATTTACAAACAGAAATGGTACTTTGTACATATCCTTAAGCTTTCTGATTTCTTGAATATTCTGAAATACATCAAGAATAGGAGCAATTATTGAATGTTAAAATCTAAATGGGCTTAGAGTGGCTAAGGACGTGAGTAAAAAAACTGCCTTTCTTGTCCATCATATTAGTGAAAATTGAAAATTTCTATTCAAGCATTTTCATTAAGTTTAAGTATCTTTATTTACATGTACATTAGATTGGAAAAAACAGTAACTATAAAGAAAATCCTTCAATCCTGACATGCTTCACTAATTTTAGCCACTTTAAGCATTTTTTTATCTCTTATTTTGAAAAATTTCTTTAGGCCCGTTGGGCACCACTATATAAATCACAAGTTTTTAGTATATATCGATCAAAGGCTCCAATATTATGATAAATATCTAAGAAAGTTACATACAAAAATAATGGGAAAATATTAGCTCCTAACTAGGGAAATATGCTGCTATCTACATGGTGATTCATAACTATATTGTGATATTTTCAAAGGACTATTCAAATGAAGAAGTTTGATGATCATACTATAATTTGTATTGCAAGTTCTAGAGCTAAAAGATATTTTGTATGAAAAAACCACTTAGCTTTGACAATGTGTTTATAAATGCAAAAATCTACTTTTCCCAAAAAATTCATATGCATACTTTTAAGGTTTTGGGTTATCCTTTTTATAAGCTTTATTTTGGTATAGAATTTTTGGGGGGGTTGAGTCATTGAATTTTTGAGTTGTTTGCAGTTTTCCAGAAATTACAATTCAAAATGAATAATGCTAAGAATTTTTAACACATGGGAACAATCCACCATTGAAATTACCTCCCCATATACCCTACCCTATGCCCTGCAACCTCCCACTGCCACTAAATTTTATGTACCTTCCAAAGAGCATATCCCATTTCTGAAATTTTTTGCAACTATAGTACATCCCTGTCAATTATCATGGGAAGTAAAAACTTACACTATCTGTTAAGATCTCTTCGGATATGGCATAAACAATAATAGGTAATACATTATCAAAATGTTTGCTGATATTTTCTGACAATTGAGCCATTTCAATGTCAGGAGGTACTATGATATTAACATTTTCCTTTAGCATTGCTTGAGGCAATTCAATCTCTAACCAGGGACAGTGATCTAGTAAATTCTCATCATCTCTTCTCTGTATGTCTGCTTCTGGTACAACAATCCATGAAGCATCATGTGCATGTAATTTTTCAACAATTTCAATCTCTCTGTGTAATGTCAATCGCAAGTTTCTTGATGTACCATATGTGATTGTGACATATCGCCAATTTGAACTAAAACATGGAAGTAAGTGTTGTCCCAACAACAGATTCACAAATGATGCTTTGGCATGACAAGTTTGTCCAAATACTAAAAATGTTGGGATTTTGTCAAGATTTGGATAAAGTGTATCAATACCCGATTGCAGAATGTCATCTTTTATGTCACCTAAAAAAAAAACATGTTATAAAATATTATGATTTGCTATAAAAGTATCACAGTAAATCGCATCAAAAATCATAAATAACATGTTCCACTTTATTTGAAAATAATATCTAGACAGGAGAAATAAGGCATTTAAGGTTTGACTTATACTATTAGTTTTGTATTCATGCTAGAAGTTAGATAGTTTGCATATAAATTCTAGGTAACCAATTAATGTTGTCAGTCTGATGATGCTTTTCAAATATAGTGAAAAGTGTTAAAAGCATGCTTTACTGAAAAAACTTGAACTAGTTATACAGAAAATTGATTGAAAGATTCTAGAGCTACACCACAGAATCTACAAAAAAATAAATAAAGCAATAAAATTTGAAAAATACTATGTTTACTTACACACTGAGTAAAGAGTATTGCTTATATCATCTATTTTATTTTGGGTATCTTGTATTATCCTTTGAAGGTTCGTGCAGTGCTTTGAATATATCTTGAACAACTTTGGTATTTCTGTCAACATACTGATAAATACTATGCAGGACAAGATTATATTTTTGAATACTGGTAGACGCTAGTCGCAGCTCCAAGCAATTTTAGATATTATGTCATAATGTAGTTTCTGAGGAATGATGTTTTTCAAAATATTACTTATACTTTTCACCACATATATTCTCTAGCTCTCATTTACTTTCTTCACTCTGGCATAAAAAAACAATTGGAAAACAAATGATAACTGCTACAATTTATATTATTGACCATAACCCTACTTTTTGACACAAAACACGTAAGATTGAAGAAGTGGGAGCTGCAAGTTAAACGATATCAACACCTGACGTTTGTCAGATGGTTACGCTACCTACTTGCCTGGATATCTGGAGGAACTATCAAAAGGATGCCGAGTATATGTTTTGTGGTGGTCACTACCCAAAGCATCAGAACACTTACAAATTTGTAATATAGATGGCGCTAACGTGTAGAGTAGGGATGGGCAAAAGACTACAAGAGTATTTCCGATAAGTCCAAGATTTGATACTATTTCTGGAATATCCAATTGTTCAGCGATTAAACAGAAAAATATACATACTAAGTGCATACTAATCGAATAGTTATATATTGAATGGGAAGCATGAAATATTTTCTTACAGTAATTTTAAATAACCAACCAAGTTTTGGAGTTAATATTATGATGTTGCGCATCTCTAGTTAATTCTAGGAAAACATGTCGAGTTCAAAAAGGCAAATAAACTCAATCCATTTTTTTTAATATCTCATTTTAATAAAGTACCTATAACGTAAAACTGGACATGTCATATCACAGTAACATTATTAATATTACAGTTCGTTACGCAACATCTAATTCGTTTTTCCCGCGTTCCCATCCCAGGAATGACAAATGAGTACGTGACTAACCCCACGTTTGAAAATTATAAATCGTGTTAAGCGCTTAATTTTCTATAAAATTCGTAGAAAATTGTATAAAACCGATCCCTTAATTAATACGAACAACTGCGTGTTTTTCTTTGGTGAAAATCCTCCACAAACTACTTAGAAAGGTCAAATCACTTCAGTGCAACCCGCTAGGGTAATGGAAATGAAAATGATGACTGGATATTTTTCAGATGTTCCTTTGAGCTAGGCTTATATTATCATCTGATTACCTATAATAATTCACGATTGTAATATTCGATGGCTCAACGATGCTAATGAGGCACGCTTACAGTAAAAATAAATAAATGGTAATGCAATGTCTACTCAAGAAAAAGTGGTCACGCCAATGGATGCCTGATTTTGACATTTGATGAATACTGAATAGTGAATACTGAATAGTTTTTGCCCGGTTGAAGCATGGCGGTAAGCGTGGATGCTCCCGAATATTATTGTATTCTTTTGTGATTCCCAATATTTAATCTAGGAATATCGTACACAGACTAACGATGTAAGGTATTCAAGAAAAGTTCAGTGAAATGTTGTGAGTCAAAATTTATGTTCGTCAAAACATCGAATAAACAGACGGGGTCTTCCGCAAATTATGGCGTCGAACGATGAAGGCAGCAATGAGGAAAATAGGTTTTTTCGAGAGGAAGAACCTTGCTACATGCCTTTAGAAGCAACTTCCACCTGCCCTATGTGTCTGTTGGCAAGTAACAAGTGCAAATGCAATATGACTAACCAAACATTTGAACAGGAGATTTCAAACAACACAGGCAGTAAGTCACATAACATCAATAACTTTGTAAACATTAAACTTTTGGTTGCTATATTTTGAAAACAAAAGGTATGCGCAGTGAAGTTGAGCCCCTATGTTATTAATTTGTGTTTGAATGCTTTGTACACTTCACAAGTTGACATTAGTCTGAAGCTTCAAACACTTTTTAAACAATGAAGGAAAATATTAAATAATTAAAGATTTCAATAAATCTACTGGGGCATGCGGTTACATGGTGTTTTTAACGTGTTTCAAATATTCACTTCATATCTATGCTGGCTGTATGCTGGGTTGCTATAGTTCTTGATGATTGAAATGTCAGTCGTAGTGACAATTAAAGACTTATTTGAAGCACCAAACTAACTAGTTAGGGCTCATTTTTTTCAAAATAAATGTTCTACTTATTCATCTTTAAGTTATGATATGATGATGAAAACTGTTCCATGTTCTACAGTTTTTCATTGATCAAACGAGCTAGTTGTATCCTGATTACCACCTATTCTGAATCATATTCATTCTGCATACTTATTTAGATAAAAAAGGAAGTTTAATCTTACTGTCACAGGCATGAGTCAGAAATTATTATAACATTTCCAATTAACTGCTATGCATTTTTGAAACTCGGTGTAGTTGTGTAATATAGTAGTAGTATTATTGCTAAACATCATTAAGAAGAATTGATCACAAAAAATACATATTAAATATATATTGTGAGAGTATGAGAAATTGATCAGTTAAAAGTGATTTTATTTTGAAAAGGTGCTTAAGTTTAATTTTGGTGTTGTGTAGCCTTAGCATTTAACTTCCCCATTAATAAAGTTTATAATACCTCTGGTAATTGACTGAAGGATATTGATTTAATGCTACACTGTTTCAGGTGGTGAAGTTGAAACCAACTTAAGCAGCTTGAAAAATGGCCACCCTAGCCCTAGCTACATGGAAAATGATAGCAAAAGTATGGATAAGGCATATGAGAGCGAAACTCCTGTTTTATGCCCTGAAAGTCCCCCTGAAGACATTTTAGGCAACCTTGAAACTGATGCTACAGGTGACTTAACCATAATAGATATAAAATCTGAAAAACCACTCGCATTCAATGGAGAAAAACTATATTTTTCAACTCAACAGAATGAGTCTGCTAAGAGTGAATCTGCAGAGTGTCCAAATGTGAAACCTGAAAATGAGCTGAATTCAGGGAGTAATGCTGATAACAAAGAGAATTATAGTAGTGATAGATATAGCATGGAAGAAAAAGATATCTTCTCAAATAGCAATTTGTTTTCAAGTTGCCCTGTGAAATCCGAATCTACTGAGCATACCCCAGACTCTTCTACTAAAATAGGCTGTGATTCTACTTGCAATATGGGTGCTGTGGAAAGTCCAATTGGAAATACAAAAGATACTGAGAATATTAAAGATTCTAACATGAATAACACTATCACAATTAAAGTGGAGGGAAAAGCTCCCATAAAAGTTGATGGCTCTAATAAAAAATTGTGTTCTGGATTTGTTGAAAAGGTCGAGCAATTAGATTATAATTTATTGAAGGGGAAAAAGGGTATTGATCTGCTGACAGCTATAGAAGATCAATCTAATGCAAAGATGAAGGTAATGGAAAGGCATACTTCTAGTTCAGCAGAATCTAGTGGATCAAAAGGAAGAGGAAGAACAAGATCTATGGATGCTGCAGTCAAACCAAGCAGAGGGATTAAAAGATCACATTCAGCAGATACAAGTGACCCTGATTCAAAAATGCCTAAACTTGATTTTAAAGCCTATAGATCAAGAAAAATATCTACTAGTAAATCCTCAAAACATAGGGATGATAAGAAACGCAGCAGGAGTAAATATGATGAGAAAAGTAAGACCTACTCAAAATCCAAGTCATCACACTCAAGTAGTAGTTCATCAAAGGATCGCCATCATTCAAGCCACTACTCAGATATCAGACCACGCCTCTTGACCAATGGAAACTACAGTTATGCACCAGAAGATGTAAGTAACACTTATTAATATGTTGGGATTCCCAAACGTTTTTTGAAAACAAAAAGTGAAAGACCTTTGAAGGTCAAGTCTACTGTTTCAAATGATACTCTATATTTGTGAACCCGAGTGTAATCTTTTAGACTCAAAGGTTCTAAAACACATTCACTATCTTCCTTCAACAGTTCAGAATGATTTAATACATGATAGAGTTTACAGTAAGTAAGTAACTATGTAACATAGTTTTGGTAACCCTGTAATTTTGTTTTTCATAGCTTTTTGTTCATTTAATGTAATATTGAAATAGAGCACTTTACTGTAAAAGCAAAAAACTGCCAACTGAGGTTTTAAAGCAGCGTTTGCAGAATGAGCATACCCAGGAGTGACAATGTTAATGTGCAGTCTATTTTGAAATTCTAGTTCTAATAAATTAAAAAAAATTATAAATACTTTTGGGAAAGTTTGTTTCCTTTTCTATGTGTCCCCAGAGATACTCGAAGCATCCAAAATTCTCATATGAATTTCCTATAATATATAATTATGCAATTTTGACATCATTCAGCCAACCTCTATCTGTTACCATTTTGGAGATGACACTGGTGAAAATATGACGAATTTGTTTTTCAAATCACCCTATAATAAACTAGGTTAATATTCATCTGCATGCTCTATGAAGCAATTATTGGCTATATGACGAAATTGAAAAACAAAGAACAAATATCGAAAAGAAATGATTCTTGGGATTTGTATAATATGCCAGCTATGTCAAAACTTCTTCCTTTGAAGTGGCATATTAGAATATACTAAAAAATTCATGTTTCTGTTGTTATGTCATTATGAATGGGGGCGGTATATTTTCCAAGTCGTTATTCACAATTTTTGAAAATAACTTTTTTGAGTATAAAATTTGTTGCTCCAACGTATCGCAAACGACTAAATTATTAATCAAAAAAGCATCTCGCGCAATATTTTCATGAAGGTTTCAAAAAACTAATACTTTTATTCTCCATATCTATATTAATTCTCAAATCATTGTGAAATACTCTGTATCAATGGATAATACAATGAAATCCAAAGAGAAAGAAAAATATCAAACATAGTAAAGCAGATATGATTTATAGATCTTCCATCAAAACTTTTTTGAAGCTCCCCCCTTCTGTTTTGAGCTGGGTATGTCTCTTGCTTTGCAGGCTATTTATGATAACTATCTTAGCTTGTATATTATAGTTACCTACCACAAAATTCCTCTAATATTTTATGAAGCCTTCTCAACTGTTATTGGAAACATACGTATAATTTGAAGATCATGGTCAAGGTAAAAAAAAAAATAATGAAATCATTTTACCTTATTCAAATCCAGTTTTTTGTTTACTTTTTTCTTCAGTGGTGCCTTCGACTAATTTTCTTAAATGCTTCTAGAAATCTCTGCGCTACAGAAAATACTTCCATGTTGAAACGCACACGAATGGAGGTGCTAAAATTCTTCGTATGTACCATGATGAAATCAAACATCTGAATTCCAGCCAAATGAAAGAGCTGGTACATGAGTTTTTCAAGCTGGCTTTTGAAGAGGACAAAGATGGCAGTGCAACATTTGTCATAGCAGTAGTTCATGGCAGTGCAACATATATGCCTGACATCCTTGATTACATGGCAGACAATTATCCAAATCTTACTGTTCATAATGGGCTTTTAAGCAAGAGTTCAGATATTGAAACAACCACTCTGTCAGCTTATCGGGATAATGTGGCGAAACATTATGAATCTGGCACTGTCAGATATGGACCACTTCATCAGATTAGCATTGTTGGAACTGCACATGAAGAAGTTGGAGGATATTTTCCCGATCTGCTTGGTATTTTGGAGGAAAATCCATTTCTCAAGCTAGTAAGTGTGATTAATCTACTATTTTTTTTTTTGACCTGGCAGTGTGAGACCAAGCCGCCCCATGTTCGCTCGCAGAGGGGGCCGGAGCGCTCTTGAGAATCCGGTTGGCCCTTAAAATTTTGATATTTAGCATGAGTTTGCGTAAGGCCATACTCGATGCAAGGCTGATCCAGTGTTGCCTAACCGAAGAAGACGAAATCGGTAGAAAAAATCAGGGCCGTCAGAAGCTATAAAAGCGTGTTTTTTTTTTTTAGTTTTTTTAAACTATTATTTATTCTGTTTCATTCTTGAACTTGAGCCTTATCATCTGACATTTGAATTTGTTATTCAGTTTAATACAGACTAGTGCTTATTGCAGTCTGGTGATGCGATATTGTCGGTGATCTACCAGTCTGTAACTGTTGCACACAAAACCTAATATAGGTAAAGCGGAATAAGGGTTATGCATACATAATTATAGGCAACCCAAATCTACGTCTCTCGTGTTCACGATTGCCCAAGTGTACGCTTATGTATGACTGGTATGGGACATAAAACTACATAGACCACATATAATTCAGTTTTCAGCTTTATTTTTATTCTCTTTTTCGGTAAAAATCGGGAAATATTTGGATTGTTTTAAAAAAGTGGTGGAAAATGAGGTTGTTCTCGGTAAATAAGGTTTCATTTTGGTAGAAATACCAAAAAACCGGAAGGTTCGGCAACGCTGGGGTGGGCTGATCATTAAAAAGTTGTAGTTATTGCAATGCGATGACAAATTCCTTCTACCCACACTTACATCCATTGACCTCAAGGACGCAGACGCGGCGGAGAGTGACTCGGTTATTTTGGCAATGCGGTCGCTCGCTTTGTTGTCGGTTATCGACGTTAAAATTACAATCCTAGCTCACAGAAAAACGTAGTTTTCAAGTGAAAAAAACCATTGTTTTCTTTGATTTTTTCAGTTGTGGTTTCTACCGCAATCTGAAACATTTTGTCCTTACATAAGGTCATTTTGTTCGGTTTAAATTGTTTTTTGACTAAAATTATAAAGGCTACAAGCAACGTTTTTGGTGTTGTTATGAACTGAATACATTGTTTACAATAGAGTTCAAGTATTGTTCATTGAATATTTTCCTATGAGAATTGTACGTATTCAATACTTAATTTAAATGAAAGACTTTTAAACGTAGTTTAAATAATATAAGCAGATACAAGGTGCATCAGCATAACTTGCATTTTCAAAACGTGTACGAATCAGAACATTTTTATTTGTTTTTTTTTTTGTAGTGTAGGACCCTAAAATTTTGTTTTACATAGTTTTGGAGATCAAATCACCAAATCAATTTGGTGATGTCTCCCATTCTCCATGCACTCAGTAAGCCGATTTCTGGCGTGTCATAACTCTTGCGCAATAGGCGTTATGTTGGCAATTTGTTTCTGGATGTTGGTCTCCAAATCACGTAAAAACGCCACTCCAAATCGCCCTTATTGAGATGAGGCGCTCTGGGAAGTGTTCCCTCAAAAGGGCCATCGAAGCTCTTGAAGTGTGTGCCATTGAATTATCTTGTTGGAACCAAATATCCCCTAAATCCAACGCATCTAGCCATGGAAAAAAATCCAGCAACATGTTTACATACCACTATTGCAACTTTGTTTTCCTCAAAGAACCAGGGACCACTAATTCCAGTTGAGGAAATTGCACACCACACTGTGACTTTAGGTGAATACAAAGTCCTTTGATGCAATTCTGGATTGGTGTCAGCTCAGTAGCGCATGCTTTGTTTGTTGACGGATAAAAAAAGAAAAAACAGCGTTCTCAGGAACGACTTCGCTCACACGCGTTCATCTGAGAATCGAAGCTATGTTCAGAAAGTTCCTGCAAAATTCCATCGAATGGCCTGCCAGAAAAGCTTTGCAGATGAGTGACTGACTTTCTCTCTGGTCGCATGATATCCGTCATAATTGATGGGTTCTCTTCATCCCACAACGTCAACGCAGGTGTTCCTCAGGGATCGGTCTTGGCTTCGACAATGTTCCTCTTACAACGAAAAGGCAGTCACATGTTTGCGCGCAGAACGCCGAGGTGATTGCAACATTGAAGCTCTGACTGCATCAATGTTTTCAAGGGACTCAGTTTCTTCCTCTCGTCGCAATTGCAGTTTGTCTGATCGTAGCAGCCCACGTAACAATTGAGTTCTGGTCCGTGACAGAGGCCAATGGGGTTAAATTAAACTTAAATTAAACAAATGATTAACTCAGCAATAAAGGAAATATTTTAAGTTACATAATAGAACAAAGTGTAAATATACTGAATGACAAATCCAGTAAATAAAGGAATAACTATTTACTTGTTAGAGTGGGCTTCCATGGTCCACCCTCCTTACAATTTTTGGGATTTTTAGGGTTTGCCCCCTCCCCCAAAAAAAATTCCATACCCCCTCTCTTCAAAATATCGGAACCCTCCCCCCCTGTGGGAAACCCGTGCCGACGCCTGCTCCCGCGACAATTAAATTTTATACTGTGTACTTTTTTTCAGACTATGCCCTGGGGAGCGTTATCAATATGTGATCAAATGAAGCCCACAGATAGTAATGATGGTCCAATCATTTGGTGTAGGCCAGGTGAACAACTTGTCCCTACAGCCGATTCGCGTACTCCTAATAAGCGAAAAAGGTGAGCACAGTATGTTTTGATTAAACATTCGTACTCTTACTTTATCTGACCCTCAAAAAAAAACAGAGTTAGGATTGGTAATCTACTGTATTCGCTAGACTTGGCCCCAGTGATTCCATGATATTTGAAAAATTAAAAGAACAGTTAGGAGGAGGCAACATTTTTACCCGGCGGCTGCTGAACCGTTCGATTACCGATTATATTGGACTGTTGCATCAATTGTTAGTAAGGGTTGAGTAGAAAAATAAAACCCTCAAACCAAACGGAACTTTATTGCAAGGGGGTCGTAATTAGTGATAATAATAAATATTAATATAGTTTCTATTTTTTCAGGACTGGTATTAACGAGCTAAAGAATCTGCAGTATCTTCCGAGAATGTCGGAGGCAAGAGAGCACCTTTTTGAAGACAGAACCAAAGCCCACGCAGATCATGTTGGCGCTGGGTTAGACAGAAAAACGACAGCTGCTGTTGGAATTCTGAAGGCTATACATGGAGGCAAACGCGAAGGACCAATTAACAGGATAACAAAGGATGTAGTCGCTTTTTCCGCTAAGTATTTTGATATCTTAGCTGAGAAGTTACAGCTGGATCTACACGAACCACCAATTTCACAGGTAAAACAAGGTGTTAGCTAGATTGACTCACCAATCTCCATGTTTACTTAGCCACCTTGAAGCCTAACTGTTATGTCTTACAGTATTTTCTCACAAGTCCACTAATAGTTCAGGATTGCAACCGGTATTTCGAGCATCCAAAATACGCAATATGTTCCGAGGAAGTATAGTATTAGCGAAAAATTTGGAAAAATTGTTTTTTGGATGTTATATGACATGCGCATCACGAAAATCCATTACTATGTCAAGGACAAAGAAGCTTTTGCAGGTTTTAAAAATCTGTCCAGTGATGGCTTACGAAAAGGCCAAAAACGAAAAAAAAATTGCGTCAAGTAAGTTGACTCTGTACTCCTCACGCAACGCAGTCATTAGTTCGTAAAGAATTATGTTTGGCACAAGTTATCCGTTCTGAGAAAAAAGTTAGCTATAAACATGGCCCTTCCTCCTCCCTGTGAGAAAACTTCCTGCAGGCGCACATGATCTTTGCGATGGCCAATCTCGGGTGAATGACGATATTGGCCATTCAACGGATTGTCGCCTGTGAACGAACGACGCTGGTTCATCGAGAGACCGCGTCTTACGCATTGGCACCCCCCCAACCTCCAATTTTTAACCCCTGCATATTTTCCGAAAATGGCCTTTTTCTCCACCGCCACTGGACCGATTTTAAAAGACTACTCCTTGGCATAGTATTAACCTTGTGAGAATTTTTTTCAAAATCCGATCGGTATCAAGTGATAACGAGGTCAAAGAATAGAGGACAGACAAAACCACCGACCGAAATGAGTAACATGGTTTTTCAGATATACAGGGTGTCCAACTAAGAATGCGAAGTAATGTATCTGGGATCCTATCCATCGTAGATGCTTGCGGCAAAGACAATTATTACTAAAACGGCCAAGAGAAAAACCTGGACAGTATTTTCAAGTTTATGAAATGGCTGCTAGGGGGTGTAACTGCAATCTTGAACCTAAAAAAGTGATATTTCTGTGAATTCCGCTATATTAACCTAACAAAAAAATACCTGATCCTTAAATATGAACCCATTTTATTTGGCAATTTTTGTTGTATCTATCTCCAAAAATAAAGTGGTGGGGGGTATGCAAACATTTCTGTAAAAAACACCCTGTATATTCGAAGCGGCTAAGCAGATTTTAACACACTTGGGCCAGTTGAAAAGAGCTATTCTTGGGCTACAACTGTTATAATATTTGAAGTTTTGTTAGCTTCACTTGTAGCCGCTAAATGGCTTATTTCGACATTCCGGCATATGGTCACTTTTCTCAAAAAAATTAAATGCATTGGTATGTTTCCTTTTTATAAAAAAGTAGCTAAAAGATGTCTAAACAAACTCGCGAAAGCCGCATTTCAATATCTTGTTCCTAAACTCCTTCCTCTTCCAATCCACCGCTGTTGAAATACTGCATTAATATGCTCTCGCACAATAATAGCAAAATGTGCTGGGCAACCATCCATCTGCAAAAACAAGTTTTGCCGTGTTTCCAGTGGCACATCTCCCAACAACAACGGTAATTGTTTGTCCAAAAAGTCAAGAAAGACATTGCCATTTAGGGATTGCTCGGAAAAATATGGCCCAATAATTCTGCCTCCCAGTATGCCACACCACACATTTAAACTCCAACGCCCTTGGTGCTGAACTTGACCAATCAATGCGGATTTTCTACAGACCAATAATTCATATTGTCCAGATTGACTCTCCCGTCACTATTAAGGGTGGCTTCTGTCCAAAGAATTTGAAATAAAAATTCTCTATCTTCCTCTTTCAAGGCCTGGTGCAAAAGGACGTGATATGGGTGCATTCTAAAAGTGATTAAAAAAAGTTAAGATTAAATAAATCCCTATATTTTGTTGGACAGTAGAACTTACCTCTGGTCCTTCAAAATATTTTGAACTGTTGTTCGTGATATGCCCAACTCAAGGGATAATGCCCTTGTGCTAACATTTCAATATATCCTAGTACGCGGTTAATATTTTCTTGTGTTCTTCCAATTGTTTGCCTTTGAAAGGTAAGCTGAAAAATACAATTGGCAAGTAAGCTCGCCACTAATCGGGAAATACTCTCACATCGCAAAGACGCCGATTTGGATATCGTGGCGCGAACTATTTTTGCTACTATGACATTCTGAAGACATTCAAAATTAACTGCAAGCATATCACCAGCATCATTATTCGTAAAACGCATTTGGTATGCATAAAAATTGCTTTAAGTAACGCGAAGCTATTGACAAAACTATTGTCAATTTGAGGATACTTATATTTGATTACGTATTTGTTTTGTTGTATTCCATGACCTGTTTCTATTAATTGTCTTTTTCTTATATACCCATAGTGAATATGCATTTAAACAAAAAATATGCCTTTTGTTATTAGCATTACTTACTTACCTTTTAGGGATATTCTGTAATATTTTCAAAAAGGGTGAAACAAAAAAAGTTCAGATTATCCTGGAATTTAAAGATCAGGTATTTTTTATTAGGTTAATTATAGCGGAATTCTCAGAAACATCACTTTCATAGATTCCAGATTGCAGTTGCGCCCCCTAGCGGCCATTTCAGAAAGTAGAACATATTTTCCAAGTTTTTCTCTTGGTCGTTTTATAATTGAAGTTTCTGTGGCACCATTATAAAACGGTTCTTTTTTAATAAATGACCTTCGTACACATTGAAGACGAAGCTACATACTCATTTTTATATAAGACTGGATATAGTTGTAAAAGTGTATTTCTATGAAAAATACCATAAAACTAAAATTGCAAAAATGTTGATTTTTGCATTTTTATAAGCACAGTAGAATGATAGTGTTAGATTTGGAAACATGATTTTTTTCAGTGTGTGACTTGGATAGAAGATGCAAAGTTGAACCAGCTGAGACGTGAAGGTATTGAATATGCTAGGATAAACTTGTATGACAATGACATTTATTTTCTACCAAGGAACATTATCCATCAGTTCAGAACTGTCACAGCAGTCACTAGCGTTGGTAAGTTAATGTTTGAACTTTTTTTACATTTAATGTTAACCATTAACATCCTTTTTTTAAACTTACAATGTTTCAAATTTGGTTCTATTGTTTACAACATGGATAGGATACTTGGTCCTGATTGGTGTAATTTGCGCCATAGGAACAAAAAATTGGTCTTGTGATCAAATGAAAAAAAATAGCTTTTTGTAACTAAATCAGGTGATTTATAAGGAATTTCTTGATTTAACATAGGAAATAAAGGCCCTTTTTACGCAAATCTTATAATTTTCCCTAATTTGAGAGGTACAAGGTCTGTAAATTAAGTGGTGAGACTGATTTTTTTTAATTGTTGTGCTCAAATATAATGACAATTTTATGTTGTCGCCCTCAAAATAACTTCCTGCTGAAGCCACACGGCGCTGGAAACCGTTTTTTTCAACTCCTCATCCTCATAGCAGTACTGGAACTTCGATACTGGAATAGCCTCCAGCTGAATGGTTACAGCCATTTGAATGTTTTCGACTGTCCCAAAATGAGTTCCCTTGAGGTGATTTTCCGACTTCGGGAAAAGAATAGTCACAAGGACTCAATTCAGGCGAATAAAGAGGCTGAGGAGCCACAGGAACGTTTTTACTGGGCAAAAACTCGTTTATTGACATTGCTGTGTGACAAGGAGCATTAACGTGGTGCAACGCCCAGTTGCTCTCGATGTGATGAATGGTGGTGTGAGTCAAATTCAACTCTTCCCCGATCATTATGACTGTGTATCTCCAAACGCCTGTTTAGCAAGAGTTTCTGTTGCACTGTGCTCAAGTTTGAAGCAAAACCTGATAGCACACTGCTGCTTGCTATTGATGTCTCTCATTTTTAGAACACAATAGAAAAAACTCTTTCACAAATAAATCGCTACGGACAACCAAATGACTCGAGAGTGTTCAAACTTGTATTGAAGGCGGATCACATGTTCCGCTGTCTCCCGTCCAAGCCCGGCCCCTCCAGTATTGCCAGATCGAACGCAACGTTGCTGGTTTCATCAATTTTCAATGAAATCGTCTGTATTAAATTCATTACTTCAAAAACGCTTTTTGATTGGAAAATCGCTGGTCAAATTTAGATTCGTGGTTCAAAGGGTGGATTTCTGATTGGTCGACTCCGTCTCGCGGTTTTATCGGTCCTATCATTCATTCACTTCTATTTTCCAGCGTGGCATGTTCGGTTGAAACAGTACTACCCTGTTTCTGAACAACAAGAACCTGCTGACGAAACAGCATCTCAAAAGCCTACAGAGTCTCATAAGCCACAAAAAACGCCTCTGAAGTCTTTGAACCATCAGGACATAAAACTTCCAGAAAAACCAAAAGTTAAACTGGACTTCAACAAATATGCTGGTATCGAAAAAGTGAAAGTGGATGAAGAGAAAGATAAACATAAAGATAAGGAAAAAGATAAAGACAGGACGAAGGAGAAACATCATAAAGATAAACATAGGGATAAATCGAGGAATGATAAAGATCGGCATGAAAATCGAAGCAAAGACAGGTATCGAGATCGTGACAAGGATAGAGACAGGTCACACCATCGAAATTCTCACAAGTGTGATAGAGACAAACACAAACATAGTGAAAAACTTAAACAAAATTCCAACAATACCGGTTCCAAAGAACTGATGACCAAGACAAGTAGCAGTGATATAAAGAGTTCAAGTAGTAGCGATATGAGGTCAACAAGCAGCTCAACTATTCTGTCAAGTAATTCTTCGAGTGAACTAATCCCGACCAGTGTAAGTGAGGTGACAGACAGTATATCGCCTGTGAAAAGTATTAACCCCCCTGCCTCGAATATATCACCTACCAAAAGTGATAAGAGTGAATCGTCACCCATTAAAAAGCATAAGTCGGTCAAACTGAAGATACAAAAGCCTCAATCCACTGATATCCTTGGTGATATCCTGAAGGATATGAATAAGAATGATCCTCATATATAATATTAAGCTACAGGTCGAATAAGAAGTACATATCTCAAGGAATTTGTAAGGTTTGTACTCCTTTTTCGAACTGTTACAATGTGGGATAATTGTACTCTTTCAGTGAGTTTTTATTCCAGCTTATTTTTCCAAATGTACATACTAGTACTCAGGCCTAGGTATGTGTGTAGTCTGAAAAATCTCACTATCTCGGAAGGTAGCTTAAGATACATATTGGTAGAGTATAAAGAGGTATGTATGTTGGAAAATGTGCATGACAAAGGATGAGGCCTATACGGCGGTTTTTGGCCTTGGAATAACTGAGATTTTAAGTTGGTCGCAACTATACATTTTCAACTTTCAACATTTTTTCTTTTCGTTTCATACAGGATGTGACTAAATGATAGGGCATAATTACAAAGGAGCATTCCTGAAACAAATTCAAGTAGAAAAGTTCATATAAGCGCGTCTTAAAAAGCCTGGTTTCCAAGATACGCAATGTTGAAGATATAAAAAAATGGTCTTTGACAGAGGAAAAAAATAGCACACTGTCCCACAACATGCCCATAACAACATAATAACATTCTCTAACAAAGATCAAAGTTAATTTGATTTTATTTTAATAATTTTTTTGGTATGTAATGAAGTTGTTTTTCTCCTCAAAAACGAAGTAACATACGAAGAGGATACCAAGAGACAAAAAAGTTGTACCATTAGCTGCTTAATCCGAAAAAAAATACAGATTTCTCAAAAAAGTGATGTACATTTTTTGTTAATATAATTCGTAAGACCTCTCCCCAAGGCGCCACTGGCATTCATAATTATCTTTTAGTTAGTGCTAACTTATTATTGCAGTAAGCAGTATTGCCAAAATCAACATAATCGGCACATAGATCTTTGAGATATTAATAAAAAAACATTTTTTTTTAATTTCGACACCCTTTATCTATAAAACCGGGACCCATATATGAGTTTTTCTACTGAAATTTGTCTCAGGCTGCGCCCTTGAAATTACGGCATATCATTAAGTGAGTTCAGTAGAGTAGAAAAGGGCAAAGGGTAGTTTTGAATGGATTTTGGCGTTGGTTATCATGTCTTGGCCAGTTTTGATGCGTTTTTTATAAGGTTATTATCAAGTCAATTGTCACGCTAAGTAGCCACGGTTCCAATAAGTTCTAATACATCAGCATATAGTTAGCTACTGCGCCATCTATGCGACATTAATATTTTCAAATTAGGTTTCTTATTGTGAAAAGTAGAAACATAATTGTGAGAAATTCTTATAGATGACGCCCTGATATCCCATTTCGTATGGGATAACATCGTTAAATTGACATTCTTCAGCTTAGATGCTAAAACACAAAACGTAATAAAAAACCTGTTGCGCCATTCACAATAAAAAGAACAAAATTAGACAAATCAATGTACAATTATAATGAGCCTTGTTTTTTTGTAAAGTACAATCGTGGGCATGTATACAAGAAAAGAACAGGAGCAGAAATTGATGTGTTAGGTTAGGTTTCTTGTGAGTGCATCAATAACGATCCCCCAGTAGCTCCGCCCTCCTGAAGAAGTCGATCAACTTGTTTGGAGCAATATCCTTCAGGTCTTCTGGTTGGAGTACTACGTCTCCAAGTATATTGTACCCGATTCTAGCAATTGCAGGGCATCTGCACAATACATGCCTGACCGACCATCTCCCTCCATGACAGTCTGCCCTCAGCGTCTTCCGTCATGCCTAGCCTGCTCATGTGGTGACGCAATTTGCAATGACCAGTGTACAGTCCTACTAGAGCTTTGAGGCTATTCCTGTTCAGCCATAGCAAAGAGTCTGTTACCTTCTTTGTCAAGATTGGTATAGTTGCCTTGGCATGGGTTAACCCTGCTAATCCCTCCCAGTATTGATGGATCTTTCTGTCCATACTTGCAGAGATTATTTGTTTAGCAGTATTGTATGCGATCCCAATCGCTGGCTCAGGCTATATGAAGGGTGTGCTAACCCCACTCTCTGCCAGAGTGTCAGCTGTCTCGTTTTCCTCTAGACCTATGTGTCCTGGTATCCATATGAGACGGACTTCATTTCCCTCCCCGGGAGCGTCTTTGTAATTCCACCCTGATTTCGACGTCGAGTAGATGGAGTTAAGTGCTATAAGTGCGGCTTGACTGTTTGAAAAAATAATTATAGTTCTGTGACTCAGTTGTCGTTCTGGCACCCAGTTCTATAGCATACAGCTCTGCCTGGAAGATCGATGCTCAGATTTTTTAACCTTTAGCTTCGGCACGAAGATACCAGCTCCAACACCTACCTCGGTCTTGGAGCCATCTGTTTATGCACAGATATCTTTCCTTATCAGGTTAACTTGCTGTTCCCACTCATTCCTGGGTGGAAAAGTAGGGTTTAGCATATCTTGTTATCTTTGGCATTATACAGGGTGACTTCGAAGTTGAGTCATTTATTTTAACAGTGAGTAGATCTGATCAAAAGAAATGTTTTTTTCCTTTACAATTTTTCTGGTAAAATTAAAGTAACAAAGTTATAGCCCTTTGGAAGTTTGAGTACCGCCCTGTCTCAATAATAATATTATGTGCTCGTGTTTGGCGACAACGGATATAATCCGCCTTATCGGTTCATCGCATCGGAAACAAAAAAGCGAAAGAATTTGGAACGATGTTTTTACAATTATTTTATTCATTTGTATACAGTCAGTGTCAGTGAATAGTGGTGTCTGTTGCGTGGCTCAAACGAAATAAAAAATGGCACATGTTTATGCGGATGGGTTTCCCAATCGAGTGCAACCAACCCCTCGTGCCTTTGTTAATGTAGTACAACGGGCTCGTGAATCAGGTGACGGCATGCCGGTGCTCCAAGACCTCACGATCAAATACAGGTCCGCACTGAAATACTTGTCGGGAGGATACTTTATAAACCAAGGTAAGCTTTTTTTTAATTTTTTTTTATTTTTACACACATATTTTGGTTTATCTTCCTTCTACAATCATTATCTGAAAATTAATGACTCAACTTCAAAGTCATATATCAGAAGGCATTCCCAGACTGTGGTGGTTTTGTAAGTCCACCAGCATGTCCTTCTCCTCCATAGTGATATTGTCCATTGGCCACATGATGTAGTCTTCCAGGTATATGTGCAAGGGGGGTAAATAAGAAGGACCTCCATAGCTGCAGTTGGTGTGCTAAGAAAGGCACCAGTGATCAACATACAAGCTTCTCTCTGTATTGCACTCAGTTTGGCTTGGACAGTTCTTTGTGCTGCCTTGCCCCACCAAGCTACAGTTACATAACCATGGTATAACACCCAAACATTTGTTTAGGTTTCACTCCCCAGTTCCTCCCACAAACCCTTCAGTAGTTCCATAGCGAGATCCTTGTCTTCTTAGGGACTGCTTCCAGATGCGAATTCCAGTTTAGTGTTTAATCTAAGATTATTCCTAGATATGTTGTCTCTTTTGCAAACGGTACATTCTCACCTTGGATTAATCCCATCCGGTTTTCTCTTTCTGGTGAAAGGTATGATGACCATTTTTTGCGGGTTGATTGACATTCCCTTCGCACCAATCCGCTATTGCGGATAACACCTCCTGGAGTGTTCTCGAGATATGTTCCCCAGATTTCCCTCTGACTAGATCGTCTGCATATGCTTGAACCTCGGCCTCCCACAGGCGAATAATGACAATCAGATTATCTACCACCCCTCCCTGTGTACACCTCCTGGCAGCTCGAAATCTGAGTTGTTCCCCCTGTAAGGATGTCGTTATGATTATGCATGTCAACATGTTTCTGATCCAGCGGCAGATCAGAGGATTCACACCCCTGGAGATGATTGATTCATAGAGGGATTCTGGTAAGGCATTGTTAAATGCTTCCTCTATGTACAAAAAGGCCGCTGTGGCAATTTCCTTGTTTTCCAAGGACGCTTTGATGCGTTTTGGTAATTAGCTACCGAGATGTAAGGTGTTTTGTCCAGAAAAAACGTCCACTTCGGCAACCCCTCAATCCTCCATTTTGAAATTTGGAGTGCTGAATTTTGTATCAAAAAAAAAACTTACACATCTCAGCTTTTATCTTGTTTGTTACTTTTTCGAATGTTCATATTTGCTCATACAGGGTGGTCAAAAACGCAAATTGTACTTTTTCTCAAAAATTTCAAATGCATCACTCCGTATATGTGCAAGTTTGGATTCAATTTTTTATAAGCTTTTTTTTTGTATAAAGTTTGATTCAGATAAAATCACTAGATTTTGAGTTTTTAAGCTTTTAATAGAACAACACACCAAAATTAAGAAAAAACTGTGGGCTAGTTCCATATTGCAACTAAGAATAGAGGAGAAGGTCCGAATATGGGCACCCCTTTTGTTTTTTCAAAATACTTTCGAAAAACTTGCTATTTTGTTTTTAAAATTGGCACACGGATAGTTCGTCAACTTACCCAAGTTTTTGTTAAACCAAAAATTTAATTGGTAAGGCAAAATATTAAATTTAAGCATTATTTAATTTTTTTAATATCTTTTACTTATGCCTGGTTTGCTCGTAATATAAATATAAAAACAAAATAATTAAGTATTTTTTTACTAACTAACAAAAAAGAATACATTTTAATATTGAAGAAGTAGTTTATTTACTACAATAACACTTTTATCAAAAAATAAATTCTAATATAATAATGGAACAGATATAATTAAAGTAAAAACCTAAACTAAAAATTCTTCTCTTCGGTATAATTAATTTAACGGCAAAAGTCGCAGACATAGTCATCTTTTTCGGCTCCAGAACATTGCTCATGAGCCCAAAGTCTACACATAATACACCTAACCCATAGTTCTCCCGTATTGTCTTCCGAAAAACGATGGTCACAAAATATGCAAGTAGCATCATTGTCATCAGGAGTAAATTGTCCTATCTCATCAGTGTCCAAATCTTTATCAGCCGGTAGGAATTCTTCATTTTTTGCTTCTAATTCTTCTTCATTATGAGATGTAATTTTTTTCTTAGACACCTTTTTTATGGCATTAGATTTGAAAAACACTTGTCGTTTAGGCACTAGCTTCTTGGGTGTGCTATTTAGAGATTTTTATAGCTCATCTTTGTATGGTGAAGAAGTTATGACCTGAGATTTAGATGGCTTTTTTCCCCGATTGGTTTTCTTTTTTGTTATGGCTGGTAGCGGAGAAATTTCAAACGGTGCCACAAATTTCACAGTTTCTTTCAAACTGGATGAATCCCGAATATCGGTTGCTTTAGAACAGCCGGGTTGGGGCGCAAAAACATTTTCGTTATCGACAGGTTGTTCTTTGGATTTTTCTTTCACTTGTGGTGACACTATGTTGCAGTTTTTTCTGCTTCCATTTCCTCAGCTATAAAGTCCGCGTCTGAAAAAATATGCCGGTTGAACGGATAAATTCCAGTAGCCCTGAAACCGTTTGCAGCTATTTCACCACACTGCGATTTTAAAAATGCTTTTCCTATAAGTTCACCTAGATCAAATTGGGTAAAGGCACGTTGATTAATTCGAAGCCAATTTCGTATTTCTTCACTGTAGTAGGTCTTGCAGCTGCCCATAAAAGTTTTATTGAGTGGTTGTAGTTTATGTGTTGAGTGTGGAGGGAGAGAAATTATTGAAATAAAATTTTCTCTAGCCAATCGAATTACTTCAATATTTCTAGTATGACTGTAGTGTCCATCCAACACGAGAAGGACAGGCGATTCTTCAGAGGGTTTAACAATGTCTATAAAATGTTTCATCCAATCAGAAAATAGATTTTGTTGAACCCACCCATTGGGATGGACAGCGTAGATAGATCCAGGTGGTGCCCCACGTATTAGCTGTTCATTTCGATTTTTCCTGGGAAAAATCAATATTGGAGGTACAAAGTGTCCCCCGGCGCTCATTGCTGCAATAAATGTAACCAGAGATCCTCGTTCAGCTGAAGTTAGTGAGGCGATCTGTCTTTTTCCTCTTCTGCCTGTGCAACCTTGCTTTGAACAACTGTTAAGCCTGTCTCGTCCACATTAAAAATTCGATGAGGAGAGAAATTATGCTTCGTGTATTCCGACTCCAAATTATTGAAAAACTCTTGTACATATTTTTTTGTTAAACCCCAACGCGCGAGCAAAAGATGTCCCAGTTGGTCTTCGAATAGATAATAAGTCTTTATGTCGTGATAAAAAAGCATCCAACCAACTTCGTCCGGCAATGCCATTTCTAAACAAATTTTTTTATTCCGTTTCTCACAGCTAAGGTCGTATATGCCATGCGACGAATATCTTTTCTAGTCAGTCCATAATAAATAGCCTCCATAGCTAAAATATATTCAACTAACTCACGCTCAATGTCTATTCCTAGCACTGGTTTCCTTCCTAATTTGGTAAGAACTACATCTTCAGGATTCACATTATTTGCTTTTTGATTTTTTAAAAATCTTTGGAGTATGGACCTTGGTACTTTAAAGCTTTTACTAGCATGTTTTATACTCATACTTTGGTTATTGACGTTTGTAATAGCTTTTATCATGTCTTCATTTGTCCATTGCTTCATTACATTTCTTGATAAAACCTTTGGTTTAGTACATGGCATTGTTGATCTAAAAAGAAAAACAAAAAAATAGTGGGTCCGGGCCCATATTTGGACCCACTAAAGGCCTCATATTACCAACAGTCCACGTTGCATAAACAAAAAAATATAACAAATTGTGAAGGTTATATAATTTAACAGTAGTTATACCATAATAAACTTGGATATTAATAAAATCTATTTTGTTTACTCCAACATTAAAATATTTAGTCAAAATCGAAAAAAAGTAAACATAACCTACCTTAACAAAAATAGTTGAATTGGCGCGTGCAAATATCAAGCCACCTGTTCTGACAGAGACGGAAAACGAACTCAATACGATTGAAGAATTAATAAGCCGTCCGGAAGGAGTAGTATAAGCAAGTGTTCATAGATGCCACTAGTGTACTATGTTCAAAAGGCAAGGTGTCCATATTAAGTGCAGGGCCATAGCCTCCTTTACTCTGAAAGCCATGAAACTAGATCTGGCAACATTGCATGGCATTCGCTTAGTGGGTCTATTGTGAATTGTCGAGGATATGAGGATACATATTTTTGTATGGGTCTAAGGGTGGAAAATAATCAATGAAACAAAATTGTGATAGAAGAACGGTTTAATAGAAAAATTATCAATTAGTATAATATGTTTTTCACCTAGAACTAATCGCTTATTGCATACAAATATTAATTATTTATAAGCTAGGATGTCAAAGTTAATAGTTTTCTTTTCTTGGCACTTTTTTCTTTGTGACACAAGTTGTTTTTATTTTTTGTAAAGTTATTTTATAAAATATTACATATACTGAATGTTGCAGCAGTATATATGCCAACTTCGTCCGGCAATGCCATTTCTAAACACATTTGTTATTCCGTTTCTCACAGCTAAGGTCGTATATGCCATGCGACGTATATCTTTTCTAGTCAGTCCATAATAAATAGCCTCCATAGCTAAAATATATTCAACTAACTCACGCTCAATGTCTATTCCTAGCACTGGTTTCCTTCCTAATTTGGTAAGAACTACATCTTCAGGATTCACATTATTTGCTTTTTGATTTTTTAAAAATCTTTGGAGTGTGGACCTTGGTACTTTAAAGCTTTTACTAGCATGTTTTATACTCATACTTTGGTTATTGACGTTTGTAATAGCTTTTATCATATCTTCATTTGTCCATTGCCTCATTACATTTCTTGATAAAACCTTTGGTTTAGTACATGGCATTGTTGATCTAAAAAGAAAAACAAAAAAATAGTGGGTCCGGGCCCATATTTGGACCCACTAAAGGCCTCATATTACCAACAGTCCACGTTGCATAAACAAAAAAATATAACAAATTTTGAAGGTTATATAATTTAACAGTACTTATACCATAATAAACTTGGATATTAATAAAATCTATTTTGTTTACTCCAACATTAAAATATTTAGTCAAAATCGAAAAAAAGTAAACATAACCTACCTTAACAAAAATAGTTGAATTGGCGCGTGCAAATATCAAGCCACCTGTTCTGACAGAGACGGAAAACGAACTCGATACGATTGAAGAATTAATAAGCCGTCCGGAAGGAGTAGTATAAGCAAGTGTTCATAGATGCCACTAGTGTACTATGTTCAAAAGGCAAGGTGTCCATATTAAGTGCAGGGCCATAGCCTCCTTTACTCTGAAAGCCATGAAACTAGATCTGGCAACATTGCATGGCATTCGTTTAGTGGGTCTATTGTGAATTGTCGAGGATATGAGGATACATATTTTTGTATGGGTCTAAGGGTGGAAAATAATCAATGAAACAAAATTGTGATAGAAGAACGGTTTAATAGAAAAATTATCAATTAGTATAATATGTTTTTCACCTAGAACTAATCGCTTATTGCATACAAATATTAATTATTTATAAGCTAGGATGTCAAAGTTAATAGTTTTCTTTTCTTGGCACTTTTTTCTTTGTGACACAAGTTGTTTTTATTTTTTGTAAAGTTATTTTATAAAATATTGCATATACTGAATGTTGCAGCAGTATATATGCCAACTTCGTCCGGCAATGCCATTTCTAAACACATTTGTTATTCCGTTTCTCACAGCTAAGGTCGTATATGCCATGCGACGTATATCTTTTCTAGTCAGTCCATAATAAATAGCCTCCATAGCTAAAATATATTCAACTAACTCACGCTCAATGTCTATTCCTAGCACTGGTTTGCTTCCTAATTTGGTAAGAACTACATCTTCAGGATTCACATTATTTGCTTTTTGATTTTTTAAAAATCTTTGGAGTGTGGACCTTGGTACTTTAAAGCTTTTACTAGCATGTTTTATACTCATACTTTGGTTATTGACGTTTGTAATAGCTTTTATCATATCTTCATTTGTCCATTGCTTCATTACATTTCTTGATAAAACCTTTGGTTTAGTACATGGCATTGTTGATCTAAAAAGAAAAACAAAAAAATAGTGGGTCCGGGCCCATATTTGGACCCACTAAAGGCCTCATATTACCAACAGTCCACGTTGCATAAACAAAAAAATATAACAAATTTTGAAGGTTATATAATTTAACAGTAGTTATACCATAATAAACTTGGATATTAATAAAATCTATTTTGTTTACTCCAACATTAAAATATTTAGTCAAAATCGAAAAAAAGTAAACATAACCTACCTTAACAAAAATAGTTGAATTGGCGCGTGCAAATATCAAGCCACCTGTTCTGACAGAGACGGAAAACGAACTCAATACGATTGAAGAATTAATAAGCCGTCCGGAAGGAGTAGTATAAGCAAGTGTTCATAGATGCCACTAGTGTACTATGTTCAAAAGGCAAGGTGCTCATATTAAGTGCAGGGCCATAGCCTCCTTTACTCTGAAAGCCACGAAACTAGATCTGGCAACATTGCATGGCATTCGTTTAGTGGGTCTATTGTGAATTGTCGAGGATATGAGGATTATTTTCTCCTCTTTTATCTTTTGGAGCGACTCCAGTCATTTTTAGTGACTTTTGTAGTATCTCTAATTTTTTTTCTTTATTCCATGAACAGACATAAAAGCTTGTCTACAAATATTTATTTCCTGTAAGCTATTATCAGTTCTAAAACGTACCCTGTAAGAATATGCACTACTTCTCAAATTTGCTACGTCTTCATCTTTCCTAGGCCTTCTTCGGCGAATGAGGAGTACCGTAATCAATCCACATAAGTAGGAGTTCTGCTCATTAATAGAAGTCATTGCGTTAAAATTCTTGAGAATGGTTTTTCTTGCTTCTTCAGGTACATTTTGAAAACATTGTTTACGACAGTTGCAGTTTGCACCTACCTCGTGGCTCTGCAGTCTAATCTTTTTCATGACATCTCTCATTCTGCCGTACTTTTTCCTCTTTTTTGATTCATTCTGCCTAGATACTACTTCACTCTCATTTCCGCTACTATTGTTCTCTGTATTCATTGTTATTTACTTTTAAATTACTTGAAAAACATTGAAAACACTAGCTACTCCGACTAATCTAACTCTAAACTGCGCGTATTAGATCGACATCTATAAGTTCTGTTTATATGGACTTTACCCTTTTAGGACCTGACTGATGCGGACTTGCCCCCTATTGGCGGTGTATGCGTAAATAAGAATTTCACAGGCACTAAGCGCTTTTAGGACGTGTTCAAGTCGCTGACCACTTCTACGTTAAAATTGCTACAAGATGGCACCACTAGATCTATTTGTGTAAAATTACGACTTGCCCCCTTTTGGACCTGTACCCTTCATATGTTTTTCACCTAGAACTAATCCCTTATTGCATTCAAATATTAATTATTTATAAGCTAGGATGTCAAAGTCAATAGTTTTTATTTTTTGTAAAGTTATTTTGTAAAATACTACATATACTGAATGTTGCAGCAGTATATATTTTCTTATGGGGCATACCACATTCACAAATAATCTTAAGGTCAATGAATACATCTGATTCTAAACTTTCCACAATTAGTGTACCTAAAATAGTTTTATGATCTAATCGGGCAAATAACATTTTCAAAGTATTTTCATGATCAATTATATAAGTAAAAATGGCACAGGCATGATAATAGATATATCCTATCTCATCAGCTGGAATACAAAGACCTCCTCTTTGTAAATAATCAAAATAATCTAATTCCAACATGACACCTTTGCTCCTAATTAGTTTTTCCTGGCATTTTGTACAACTAATTTTTTTTATGAGAGAATGGCCCACATATCCACATATGTATATTTTTACTGCTTCATCAACATCATAGCTAATTAAATAATCAGTTTCCAAAATAAAAAGAAAGTCTGATATATCCAGTGAAAATGTATCTTGCTCAGATGTTAAGGAAGAATTGCGAAGCTCTTTTAAATCAAATTCTGTGTTGCACGTCTTCAAAACATTTTGAAGTCTGATTTTCTTTTCAGATTCTAGAATTTGATTGAAAGAAATATGATAATTACATCCAGATAGATATCGATATCTACCAAAACTCTTTTCCAAATTATCTGTTTGAAATTTCCCACAAAGTACATACTCAACTGGAAAGTGTTCAAAAGAATAGTCTACAATTTTAATCATAACACTTGTACTATGTTTCAATGCATTGTATGTATCTTTACTGAGTCCAACGTTTTGAATATTTTGATGTCACGCATCCAATTTAAAAATTTCTTCAAAAATTTAATATTTTCATCGTGAAATGGAATGATGGGACACGAGTGATCATCTCTTTTATGCGTACCCTTTAAAGTATTTTTTACATTTATGATACTCCACCAATCATGCACTATTTGTAGAAAATTTGCTGTGCTGCTGTAACTACTGCAAGTTTTAAGGGCAGCGATTGTGGATTCATGGAAAACATTATTTGCCAAAACTACACTTTGTCTTTCTAAATTATTGGGATATAATGTTTTATCATTTAATTTGTAAGCCAACTTAGTTAATTTTTCTATTTCATTCTTATAAAAGCTTCTAATATTTTCAAATAAACATCAAAATTATTATAATTTGGATACAGAAATGTATGCTCAAAATTTTTCAAATTCAACCAGTTATGATATATATTTTTAAATATGTGGACAAAATCAAATAGTGTAAAAATTTTTTCTGCAGGATCTGATGGATTTGAAAAATATACATCACCATTACAGAGACACCTAAAAACTTTTTGATTTACTCTATTGTTATCAGTGATTACACATAACACTTTAAACCCCTCCATTTGTATGTATCTGATTACATCTAACACTATTTGGGACAATTCATCAGCTGGCATATTATTCACTGGTACAAGACGTACAACTTCTTTAAAATTGGCAAATGCAGACGATATCATGAATGTCTGAACTGTTTTGGCTAGCTTAGTTGGATCATTCTCAGCAAACCCAGTCACATTCTTTGCTTTATACTGTAAACCAGTTTTTACATAAATTTCATCAATTAAAAGGCATACAATTTTCTCTCTATCAGAGAGATTTGATGCTGCATGTTGAAGGTAACTATTTTTTCTCTCTTTGTCTAAAATTGGTGAAACATTAAACTCTGAAGAAATTTGCTTTAAACGTCTACTCGTAGGGAGAATTAAATAATCTCTAATATGTTCATATGTTGAAGATGACTGATTGAAAATAATCAATGAAAAAATTAAAGTCGGCATATTATATACCTTTTTCGATGTAATGAGAGAAAGCTGGTCCCTTAAAAGTTCTAAAGTTGTGAGATGTTTACTGTTTTGTTGATTTAAGATTGCAATTGCTGATATCAGATGTTCATGTGCCTTTTTCAAATGAAAAGTACCATCCAAGTCAGTATGCTGAGCAAAACTATACCTTGTCAATAAATTTTCAATCTGAGACCATCTTTGAAGCTTCCGCTCTGGTAAAATCCACCTTAAGTCATTAGGAGATAATTCCGTGTTATGGAGGAATACTTGCACAGTCATGTCAGAGTGAATGACTATACTATTGATAACCTTAACACCTTCCTCTAACACATCACAGTCAGCATTTAACAAATAAAAATAAAACACTTCACCACAATTTTTCAAGCACCAGTTTTTCAGCACTGTTTTTGTGTGCACAAGTAATTTGAATTCATCAAAGTCTACAATCAAGTCATCATTTAAAAATGCCTCAATTTGATCAGTTTCTCTTTGGATGCATTCTTTTTGTCGTTCCTGTGGATCTCGACGTGCTTTCGGCTCTGGAGTACTCATATATTTTGGTAAATTTGCAAATAGATGGGGTACAGCTCCTCTTTTCAATGTTGGGCGTGCTAGAGGGCGTTCTTGAAAAACACTATCCTTGCCTTAAAAACCTCAAAGCGCCTTATTTCACCTTCTGTAAAATGCTTGCAGCATACCACTGAATGTTTTGTTATGGAATAGTTGTCACGGTGAATGGCCTTCAGCCATAACTTTTGAAGGGATTCTTCATTTGGAAAACAAAAAGTTGTTTGTAATTCTTCATTTTTCAGGATACTTTTATAATTAGATTTGCAGCCTGGCACGCAACATAACCTAGGCATCTGAAAATGAAAAAAATACTATATAAATTTTGTTCTTGGTTCGAATAACACGTTATAGGTTCTTGAAATTATTATATCTGATGAAATGCAGTACTGTATTAATTTATACTTTCATTCAAACAATTATGAGGAGCTGATTGAAAACAGATCTTTACAAATCTACAGCGTACAAATCAATTCACGTGCGGTCCAAATCACAATCACAAATGGAGCAAAACCACAGCAAAACACAAATACGAGCAAAATGGACGAGATTGGCGATAGAGGATAGACCCACACGCGGCGTTGCCAGATGTATGCTTCATGGTTTTCAGTGAAGGAGGCTGTGGCAGGGCCCATATTCGGACCTTCTCCTCTACAGATTTGACGTAAAAACTAATAACAATCAGAACAGTACAAATCAGCTTCAAGCGTAATAGAGAAAAACAACTATAATAACAACATAAACAAACAACTATCACTACTCAAGACCTAATCTACAAAACCTGCTCGAAAATATCTCCAACATGTTGAATACACAGCCGTTGTCTTTGGATAAATGATCGTTACACATCTCTCAGCATGTGTTCAGAAAAACATCCTTAAACCCTTCCTTCATATTTTCCGGGGTAGATGGTGGATATCTATAAACCTCTTGCTTGACGTAGCCCCATAGAAAAAAGTCCATCGGTGTCATATCTGGTGATCTAGGAGCGCAAGGTATAGGCCTATCACGACCGGTCCAAAGATTGTTACTCCAGGTGTCCAAATAGTTACGCACACGATTATGCGCAGGTGCGCCGTCATGTTGGAAGTACATATGCATCCGAGTTTGCAGATTGACATCCTCCAAAAGCAAAGGCAAATGCTCGATCAAAA